TTCTCAACAAAGAACCGTGTGTGTGTGTTACAGGACTGCATTAGTATGATACAGTGAGAGAGAGAATGTGTGTGTGTTGTGTGTGTGTGTGTTCATTATTCAAACGTGTGAGAGAAAGGAAAATGAGAGAGTGAGAGTTAGTGAGAGAGACAAAGAAAGAAAGAGAGGAGAATGAGACAGTAAGAGAGTTAGTGACAGGTAGTGAGAGAGAAACACTGCATATGTGTTATGGAAATGAAGTGTGTTAGAGCAAGCATTTTGAGAGAGAAGCTGAAGAGAGTGTATTTGGTGCTGTGTGTGTGGAGAGAGAATATGAGACTCTGGGTTTGGTTATTTGTGAGGGAGAGAAAAAGAGAGAAAGAGAGAATGTGTGTGTCTGTGTGTGTGTGTGTGTGTGTGTGTGTGTGTGTGTGTGAGCTGGAGAGATGGGGGAGGGTGTGTGTGTGCATGCATGTGAGCTTGGCTGAAGAGAGGATATTTGTGTGTGTGTGTGTGTGTGTGTGTGTGTGTGAGAGAGAGAGAGAGAGAGCTTTAAAAAGAAGAGGTGTGTGTGTGCATGTGTTTGCACTTGCATGTGTGAGTCTAAGTGGGGGATGGTGTGTATGTGAGTACACATGTGGGCTCAAACTGAAGAAGTGTGTGTGTGTGTGCGTATGTCCTTGTGAATGTGTGCATGCACGTGCATTTTTAAAGCAGACCTGTTTGTGAATTTGTGCATGTGTATGTGTTTGGTGGAGGGTTATGTACATATGTTTGTGTGTGTGTGTGTGTGTGTGTGTGTGTGTGTGCATGTCCATGTGTGTGTAAGAGGGAAAAAGAAAAACAGGACACAGAAAAGATAGAAAACAGATAAACAGATAATGAATACAGGAATAGAGAGAAAAAAGTAGGTTTCAGTTTTTCCGTTTTTGTGAGGAAAAAAGAAATTTAAAAACGTTAAAGTTTCAGAATTTCAGCTAAATGCAAACACTAGAGATGCCTGTGCATGTGTAAAAGAGGGAGGGAACGTGAAAGGAGAGAGGGGGACAGGAGAAGGGAGGCACGTGTGAAGGAAAGAGAAAGTGAGTGACAGAACGAGAAGAGAGAGACGTGTAGATGTGAAAGAGAGAGAGTGAGATAGAGAAAGTGAGAGAAGAGAGATGTGTATATGTGAAAGAGATAGAGAGTGAGAGACAAAGTGAGAGGAGAGAAAGAAAGGAGGAGGAGATACATGTTGTATATGTGAAAAAAGGAGAGAGTGAGCATATGAAAGTCAAAGGAGAGAGGAGGAGGTGACAGACAGATGTATATTTAAAGGTAGAAAGAGTGAGTGAGGGAGAGAAAGTGAGAGGAAAATGACAAAGTAGGAGTAGGAAAGAGACGTGTATATGTGAAAAAAGAGGGAGGGAGTAAGGAAAAGAAAGTTAGTGGAGGAAAGAGGCAGAGAGAGACATGTATACGTAAAAGATAGAAGGAGAGAGAGGGAGAGAAAGAGAAAGAGGAGTCAGAGATAGAATATTCATGTGAAAAACAGGCAGAGAAAGAACAACAAAGAGAGATGTAAGAAAGAGGAGAGACTGAGAGAGAGCATGAGAAGTAGAGGAGAGAGAGAAAGAGAAACAAGAGCCCTCGGGAGAAGGAGGGAGCGAGAAAGTGAAAAAGAACAGAAAAGAGAAAAAATTGGGGGAATAGAAAGGAAAAAAGAGATAAAGGGAGAAATATGAGATAGAGAGAGAGCGAGAGACAGGTATAGAAACTGTTAGGAGGAGAGAGAAAGAGTGAGGGCTGTTAAGAGAAGCGAGGAGAGAGAAACAAAGTGAATAGACAAAAACTGAAAGAGGAGGGTAGACAGAAGGAGAGAAAGGGAGAGGAGGACAAGGGGAAAGAGGGAGAGAGGGATGGGAAAAAGAAGACAAAGAGGGAGAAACAACTGAGGTAGGGAGAAAGGGAGAGAGAGAACAAGAGAACATGAAAGGTTTGAAAGAGACATTGAGAGGAGGGAAAAGAAAAAGAAAAAATAAAGGGAGAAGGAAAGGAGACAGCGTAAGAAAGGATAGAGACGGAGAGTAAAAGGGGGGGAGAGACAGAGGAATATGAGAGAGAGAGACATTGAAATTGAATGACATACTCACATCTTGGGAAGCAATTAAACCAGCATATTTGGGGGGGGGCATTTGGGGTGAAATACACTGTAACACTTACACACGCACACACCACTGAAACACGCGGACATGCTACCGAAACACTCGCACACGCCACTGAGACAATCACACATACACACACACTACTTGCACACATGGGCTGCAGTCAGTGGTGTGTGCATTTGACAGTTTGACAGTTTTCATTGGCCCGGAAGTCATTTCACTGTAACAGGAAGGCACAGTTTCACAAAATAAGAGCATGCTCAGCAGAACAAAGTAAAAGGGTTTTTGGAAAAAAATATAGGATTATTTATTCTGTATCATAATTTATCAGAACACTGGGTCACCAGGATTTGTTGTTGAGACTGTGAAAATATTTCCTCATTGCTGTCTTAGGCCTTCAAACTGTTGTAAAAGGTGAATTAGATGCTGATAAAATGCATCCAAGGGAGTCATGCATTCTCTTGATGTCGGCTTTTCTCAACACTGATCTACAGTTATGATGGAATGACCAGTTCTTGTGTGGTGCTCCAGTTCAGTCAGGGGCCTATCTAGCAGGTCATCTTGTATGGATTCTGCACAGTCAAGGATGCAGTAAAAACATCCTCACTATCACCATCAATACAGAAAAGCTGATTAAAGATGAAAAGGCTGATTAAACTGTAAGGAGCAACTGTTTGTTCATCTTTAAAAGAGGCTGAACAGATTTTTTTCCAGATACTCTGTTCCTTTGTGCTGCTGAGTATGCTCTTATTTTGTAAAAATCTGCCATCCTGTTACAGTGAAATAACTTCCGGGCATGCTGAAAACTCTCATGCACACACCAGTGACTGCAGTCTGTGTACCATCACTCACACACACATGTACAAGTGTTTCAGTGGTGTGTGCATAGTGCGTGTTCAAGTGTTTCAGTGGGGTGTGTGAGTGTTTCAGTGAGATGTGAGAGAAATGTGTGTGTGCGTTTTAGTGTATTTCATCCTAACCCCCCCTTTAGGTAAAAACACAAAACAATTTGCACACGCACATACTACTGGCACACACCACTGAAACAACTGCACACGTGTGTGTGGAAGATTGTACACATACTGCAGTCACTGGTGTATGCATGACAGGATTTGTTGTTGGGTCTGTGAGAATATTTCTTTCTTGCTCTCTTTCACCTTCAAACTATTGAAATATTTGTTGTGTGCGAGTGTTTCAGTGGTGTATGTGAGTAGTATGTGTGTGTGTACAAATCTTTCAGTGTATTTTACCCTAAAATGCCCCCCATAAATAAAAGCTCTCTCTCTCTCTCTCTCTCTCTCTCTCTCTCTCTTATTTTAGTGGTTTGTATTTTATGTTGTTTTTCATACGTTACTCATGAATAGGCTATAGGCATAGGACAGGCCAGACCTTCATGAAGCTGCTGCTGGCCTGAAATGGTGCATTGAAATTGGACACATAAATGCGCCTGCATGCTCATGTGTGCACATGCACGCTCTCTCTACACACACACACTTTCTCTTTCTCTCTTCAGATCCAGATGGAGGGTCGGCCAGATCAATATCATGTTTGCAAGACTGAGTCTTATCACAGCTCAGTGAATGTGTCAGTCACACACACACACACACACAAACAGTGCATCTTCGTGCTCATTTAATTAAGCATTCTCAGTTGCTTCTTTCATAAGAAACTATAGTAGGCCTGAAAATCTGTTGTCAGTTCAGGTTCCTTTTGCTGGTTGAAGCCTGTTTGGACTAAAAATTTGAAGCTAGATCTGACTCTGGATCAGGCTTTTGGTGGATAATTTTGTGCACCAATTTTATCTCAGATATTTTCTGTCTGTTTACTTCAATTTATTTCAGTTCAGATATGTTTGTCACTTACATAAACTCACACTATATGGACAAAATTATCGGGACACACCTCTTAATCATTAAATTCAGGTGTTTCATTCAGTCACATTGCCAGATGTGTATGAAATCAAGCACCTGGCCATGCAGTCTGCCTTTACACACATTTGTGAAACAATGGTTCATTCTAAAGAGCTCATTGAATTCGAGCATGGTACTATAATAGGATGCCACCGTTGCAACAAGTCAGTTCACGAAATTTCTTCCCTCCTAGATATTCCACAATCAACTATGAGTGGTATTATTGAAAAGTGTAAGCATTTAGGAACCACAGCAACTCAGCCACAAAGTGACAGACCATGTAAAGTTATAGAGTGGTGTCGCCGGTGCTGAGGCGCATAGTGCATACAAGTTGCCGAGTTTCAAACCTTCTCTAGCATTAACATAAGCACAAAAACTGTGCGACAGGAGCATCAGGGCATGGGTTATCATGGCCGAACAGCTGCATGCAAACCTTACATCATCAAGCACAATGCCAAGCGTTGGATGGAGTGGTGTAAAGCATGCCACCACTGGACTCTGGAGCAGTGGAAACGTATTCTGTGGAGTGATGAATCACGCATTTTTATCTGGCAGTCTGATGGACGAGTCTGGGTTTGGCGAATACCAGTGCCTGACTGCATTGCTCCAACTGTGAAGTTTGATGGAGGAGGGATAATGCTATGGGGTTGTTTTTCAGGGGTTGGCCTAGGCTGCTTAGTTCCAGTGAAGGGAAATACCAAGGCATTTTGGACTATCGTATGCTTCCAACTTCATGGGAACAGTTTTAGGAAGACCTCTTTCTGTTCCAGCATGACTGTGCCCCTGTGTACAAAGCAAGGTCCATAATGAGGAAAGCCTTCCCAGAAGACTGGAAGCTGTTATACAAAGGGATTACCAGATTATTGATTGCTCTGTGTGATGATATTTGCCATGTGCTGTAAAATAAAAAAATGATTTTGCATTTTTTGTTTGTTTGTGTGTTTGTTTATATGTGTGTGTGTTACAGACGTGGTTGTGGAAGGAAAAGGAAAGGCACACCGGTGAAGGTGTGTGATAGAGTCTTTGCCACAGAAGATGATGAAGAGAGCATGTCGGAGCACAGCTACGGACCAGGTGGGGAGTGTGTGTGTGTTTTGTGTAATTATTGTTTTCCTCAATTGCAAGATATTATCAACCTAGTGTTTGGTATACACACAGAAGGTAAGAGAATTATAAGTTTATTATTATATATCTATAATATGGCATCTATAAAAACATGTATATCCATTTTTGCCAGTTTTTATTTTTCTGCATCATTTGAACACAACAACTGTCATTAACATTGTGTGAAGTTTTCATGATAAAAGGGCCAACAGAAATGCTCCTCAATCACTTGGAATTAAACCTTTTAACATTCATTTACATTAGAAGTTTAGAATGTTTTTGTCTTCATAATGTGCAAAAGTTTTAGGCACCTGAGAAAATCTGAAAAGTAACTTTTTATTTGCTCAGAAAAACACTAATACTAGAACAAATACAAATTACATTAATGTAATAAATATAAGTAAGCAATAAGTAATAAGCATTTTTATGTATGTTATGTTTTTGTTTAAACATTTCTACACCTCCCAGTGTAGCAGCTCACAATTAATTGTAGTCATCAGTCACTGTTGCGTTTTCGAATTCTTGTATTCTTACAAAGTAACACTATAATATATTATATGCATTATGTGTGTTTCAGGTGATGGTCGGGAGGGAATACAGAACAAGCACAAATCATTTTCTGCAGAAGGGCCAGAGGGGCCATATTACACACCAGAATCTTCTTCTCAATCCTGGTGTGTGAGTGTGTTAATGCACGTCTTACTATGTTTATGTGTGTGCATGCAGATAGGGAAAATGGAGGTTGGAGAGATATGTGAATGCATGTGCATGTGTGTCAGAGAGTCTGGGGGTGTGTGTAGAGGTAGGGGATTACAGGAATGCAGGCTGTGTGTGTTTATTGCAATGTGTTTATTATCTTTGGTCCAGTGGTGGAATTTGTGGCTGTGTAGCTCTGTCTGTGAGTGTGTATTGCAGTATATATTTGTACAGGTGGTATGTGTGTATATGTGTCTGAGTGTTTGTGTTTAGTAATAGTGTAAAAAGTGTGTGTGTGTGTGGGGGGGGGGCATTTAGTGGAATAGATATGGTGATAGAGTTGTGTATGTTTTATATATTGAGACCATAAATTCAAGTGTAATATTGTGAGTGCAAGTAACAATACAGAAACAACAATGAAAATCCATGTTAGTCTTACTTTAAAAATATAGCAACTTGAAGTTGGATGAAGGCCATGAGGGAAATATCATTTGGCTGATAAAATCAGCTGATCTCAAGGTTCTGTTGTTAGCTAGAACAGACAACTTTAAATTTGCTTTTACTTTGAAAGTTACCTGTTTAAAGTTACATTTTAATGTTTTTTTTGTGAATGGCATGTTTATTATTGTATTATAATAAAGACTTTGAGTTTCAAATTTAAGACATTTGACATTGAACAATTTAACATTTGTCAATTATTACAGGTAATTTTGGACAGTTGCTATTAGTCCATAGTCATGAAATCTTTGTACAATGTAAAGTCATTTTTGGCTGGCATTTTCAAATGATGTAAAACAAGGAAAAAATGATATCAAATATACAAAATGGTGTAAAAAAAATAAAGCTGGAAGTTTTTACAGAAATTTCATGGTTTTGATATGACAGTATATGTTAATGTAGCTCTCTTTGTCTCTCTCTCTCTCTCTCTCGCGTGTACTCTCTCAGTTCTGGAGAGATGGCAGCGGAAGGCTCCAGTAGTGGTAGAGCTCCAGTCCTGTATCCCCCTCCTCCAAACTGCCGCATTCGAGAAGTACACTGTGGCAATCAAGTACGGCTGGTAGTCATAGCAATCCGCGACATCACTAAGGGCGAGGAAATCACTGTGGACTACAGTTTGACAGAGTTGGCAGAAAACACGATGGTGAGAGTCACTAGGGCAATAGCTGTTACCTTAACACTGAGCAGACCTTTTCTTGGTTTTAAGTAGTACTCACGATCTTGTAATTTGTTATAAAATGTATTTCTGCATTTACCTATATTAATTTAATTTTAATTATTTTGGTTGCTAATTTTGCTCATATGTAATTTGTGATCAATAATTAAGCAACAGAACACTAGAGGGAGCATGTTACATTGAATAATGACACAGCTGTGTTGATTTGGTCAATGTAGGTCATCACAGACATGATAGTATTCATAAGAACTGTTATATTCTAGAGTGTTCTATTGTTTTATATAACAGTTTTGCAAAGTAAAGAAAAAAGCAAAGAAAAGAATTCCTGAACATTGTTTCAAATACTGGTAGTTGCTTCCTCCAAAAAAATTGTTGCAACAACTTAGAGTGTAGTGACCACAGTTGTCACTTAGCAACCCATGGTCAGTGGAATAATGTAAGTACACATGTGAAAAATGTGCTGTTGTCAGATATAACAACACAGGTAGAGCACTTTTAACTAACCAGGTTGTGTGGTCAGAACTATGGTATAATAAGTAATAATGCATATATTGGTCAGTTAAGACCAGGGATGTGAATGCTTTGTGTATAAAGGTTAAGCACATAAGATGCAGAATTTGCTGACTGACTGATGCTACCACTTTGAAAACAGTTTTCATATTATTTTTCTTATTTTATAATATAACAACATATATAACAAGAACATTTGATTTATTTGTTTTTATTTTATAGCTTCCTTCTGATTATTTTTTAATTAATTTAATTAATTCTATACATTTGTTACACAGGACTATTATGTTACAGTCATTTTATACATTATTTGCAACCATACTGGCTTTATAAGATTGAAAACATCACTTCCAAAGAAATGGTGATTCCAGACTTTTAATCAGTAAGGTATGTTTCAATATGTCTGTAGCAGCCTAGGACTGTTAAGTGTGAACAAATGACAGTTTTCAGCCACAAGTTTATTCACTGGTGGCAATTAAGAATTTTAACCATGGTCTGTTTATGTTTAGCTGTTGAAGTTACCATCAGCGCTACTATGGCAAGTGAGTTAGTAGCCACCCAACATGTGACCCCCTGAATACTGGGTGTATTTCACACATTGTGTGTATGCACAGAGCAAATGATTGAATAGTGTACAACAAACTTGTTCTACTCCTTTACAGGGTTTTCATGGCACAGTGCCTCCTGCTGGCTTTGAATGCCACTCTGACCAAGAGAACATTAAGAAGGTAAAGTTTCTGCTACATCTCCTTTAAAACTTGCACCTCTCAATAAACATTAAGCTTAGAAATAGTGTCATCATAAATTATGCACACATACACACAAAACGCAGGAAATAACCAAGCGCAAAAATGATCCCATATTCAACATTTTTGCCTCATATAGCACAGGTATGGAAGCATATTATGGCTCCAAATAACTGGTTTTCAATGTAATAATTAATTGAATAAACATCTAAATTAATGAGTAAGAAATCAGTGTAAGTTAATGTTGCTATCGTACTAATAAAACAGTGACACTTCAAATATTAGTATTCTAGTTAAGTTCAAATATTATTTTGTTAATAATATAATATTATTTTTCAAAGTACCCTCATCTGTGTACAAAATGCCCCTGAATCTCAATCAGTAAGAGCAAAAATAGTCCATATCCTGAATTCTTGTGTACACACAGACATAGCATGGTAATGCACAAATTATTTTTTGAGTTTTGCTACATTACATTTCTCAATAACTACAATAATAGTCATTATAGTGATATTAATACCAATATTTATTATTATTCAGCTAGAAAGATATACTTACTTGTTATCTTTTAAAATATTACTTATTTAAAAAATAGTTTATATATATTTGTCTCATTCACTCTTTCTTTCTATCACTCTCTTTCTCTGTCTTTAGGAGGATGAGTCTGGACCAGTCCCTCTGTCGGATTATGTTACACCATCTTGGTCTCTTTCTCCCTCGTCCTCCCCTGTCTCTCACTCTGAGCCCAGCCACTCTGACCGTGAATCGGACTGTGTTAACGGTGAGGCACACAACCGGATGCCTCGCTGCCGCAAAAAACGCAAATCAACAGTGTCCTCTCCTATGATTAATACTAATAGCAAAAAGAAACCTCCTCAGCGCCCCCCCGGGCGGCCTCCCACACTACCCCGCTCTTTACCTTCTTCCCCACCGCAGCCTGCTGCCCCCTCCAGGCCTGTTTTTAAGTGTCCTGCACCAGCTGGAGTTGCAGGGAGTACTATTAACGTAGCGGCAGGTAGGGGTGTTAGTGTAACGCTGCCGAGACAGTGCTGTGTGTATTGTGGACGACACTACCGCTCACTCCCACGCCACCTGGAGAAACACCATGCCCACCAGCCAGATGTACGTGCTTCCATGGAACGAGCACACACCTCTGCTCACCTGCCACATTTGCATGCCTCCCTGCCTTCATCTTCATCTTCCTCCTCCTCTTCCTCCACACATCATCGCTGTCATAAAGAAATAACCGGGCATGCAGTTCTAGCAACACAGCAGTCCCCATCCCCTTTATCCCCTTCCCCAACTAGAAGGAGCCCAGCCCCCTCTAGCCCTTCCCACAAAAGCACCGCCCCTCCACCAATAACCCCCCCCCGTAGGGGAGGAGTCCCAGTGTCTGTTTTGAAGAGAAGCCCACCTACCCCTGTGACTCTGTCCCGGAAGGTGGGACGCAAAGTGAAGAAAGACAAAGAAGAGACTGAAGTGGTGGAAAAACCAAAAGAAGAGGGGATTCCCATGGAAGCAAAGGACCTGGAGACACAGCAGCCAAAGGTGGAAGAGGCAGAGAACGGTGAGAGGGAGGAAGACAGCGGAGCAGAGGACAAGAGCGACCTGTCAAGGTAAGAGCCCGGAGTACAACCTGACTGTGCCGTAATGATACTGTCCTGTGTAAATGAAAGAGCTTTCTAAAGCCACTTTCACATTAGACACTGGCAGTTTGCATCTCGGTGAAATAGGCACGATCCTGGGCAAGAACAAAATATTGGCAGTGCAGATTCTCAGATTGGGTTGCTAGCAAGTTAGCTAATTTGCCAGCCATAGACAGTAAAAAACAGAAAAGTAAAGGTCATTATACCATTCTAGTCCATCTCTCAACCAGTTGTTATTGCTCAACTAAGCAATGTTTCTAATGTGTTTTTTTCCGTTCTAAGTCTGCAACATAATTTTGCTTTTGGATTTTCGCTGTTAAAAATCAGTTTGACCAGTGGTAAAAGTAATTTCAATTATTGAATAATTAGAGTTAATAATAAAAAAATGACCAAATATTGTTCTACAACACAAAATACAGGTCTAATTATGGATATTATGTAACCATGCATACAAATAATCTGCCCTCTCTCTCTGTTTTTCTTTGTTCTTCTTTATCTCCCTTTCCATTCTTATCTCTATCTAACTCTCTCTCTTTCAGTTCTCGTCGGCCCCACATGCTCCCCCTCCTGTCCTCTCTTTCTTCTCTGGTTCTGTACCTGCGGCGTCTTCAGCACTCCGCCTTTATCTCACTCTCACGCTCTCCTCAGTCAGCTGAAGCATGGCGTCTGCTCTGCCATTCCAGCCTGGCTCTGCTTATCCTCTACAACCGCCGCCGTGAGTGTGAGGTGTCCAAACTCACCATTTCTGAGTACCAAGCCCGTGTTACCCCACAGTGCCCCATGCCTGTGCCTCTTGGTGCCCCGCCGGCTCTGACTCCACTTGAGGCTTCACTTTCCCCTTTCGAACGGCTTGTGCTGCCTCATTTGCCACGTGTGGGAGTCCAGGGCAAAAGGGGGCGTGTCCAGCCTCTCATATTGCCCCCGCACTCTGAGGCCTGCCTGGAGCTTCTTTTGCAGACGCGGCCCGGAGTCGGAGTGGACCCCCAGAACCCTTACATTTTTGCCCGGCCATATCATTCCCCTGCCACTCCTCTGCGGGGTACAGATCTCCTACGGAGTTTGGCCAAATCCAGCGGTACTCGTCACCCACGGGCGCTAACGCAGACACGTGTTCGCCGGCAGGTGGCCATTCTAACCCAACTGCTGCTGCTGGGTGAGGGAGAAGAGGAAGGCCAGCGTGGAAATGCCACACAGCGTCTGGAAAGCTTCCTGCAGAAGGAGTACCATGTGACCCAGAGCTGCGCTACCATTGGTCAGGATCCTGGGCTGATGGGCCTGATTGGGCGAGTGGTCCTGTGTGGGGAGAGGGATGGCGTTTTGTTCCGGGGCATGAGTCTCCATCATATTTGCTTGGAGTTAGACGGTGAGTGGATGTGTGTTAAATTTAAAGCATTTGTTAACACCTTAAACTGAATTAAAACAATAAAACTCTGATCTGTTGGTAGGTCCAGACCTCCATTTCTTCACTCTCATAAAGACTAAGGGTATAACGATTTCAGTGCAGTATTGAAAAATTTAAAAATTAATGTTTAGAACAGTTTATGGAAATGTAAAAGTAGGAGCCAATACGCCCTTTTGAACGTCAACACCTGTATAAGTTGTGAGGTGTTATCTTGTGAGTGAGGTTGAACACTGGCTAGCATGCTCATGGCAAGATGACATGACTTATTGGAGCTCGATCGAGGCATGATAGTGGGTGCCAGACGGATGGGACATTCCATTTCCAAAGTTGTGTGGACATTTAACATTCCTCAATCCACAGTGTCACGTGTGTATCAGGAATACGTCATAGTGGACCTAGTGGACCCACAGTGGACAGTGCAGTGGCTGCCCACGGGTGCTTAATGATTGTAACTGGCGGCGTTTGGCTAGAATTGTCCTTGCGAATGGACAAGTGACTCTGGCAGAAATCACATCCACATTCAATACAGGAGGCCCACATGCATATCCTGCAGGTCAGTGCAGTGTTCTTTAGCTTCCAGGGGATATGGGAGCAGAAGACCCACCAGAGTGCCTCTGTTGACTCCACGATATTGGACACAGTGCCTCACCTGGGCTTGTGAGGTTACTAAATGGACCCTGAAGGACTGGCAACATGTGGCATAGTCCTATTAGTCATGCTACCAATTGTTTTGGGCTGATGGTATGGTTTGTGTGTAGTGCACAAAGCCCCCACGAAGCCATGGACCTCAGTTATCAACAAGGCACTGTGCAGGCTGGTGGTGGTTCCATACTGGTGTGGGATGTGATCTCATGGCCTGGGTTGGGTCCACTGGTCCGCCTAAACACGTCATTGACCAGTGACTGCTACGTTTCATTTTTGGGTGACCATTTGCAGCCCTTCATGGACATTATGTATTCCCACAATGATGGGATATTCCAGCAGGATAAGGCACCATGCTCTTGGGCCCAAATTATGCAGAATTGGTTCGAAGAGCATTCTGGAGAGTTCCAACGAATGGTGTGGCCTGCATGTTCCCCGGACATGAGCCCAATCAAGCATTTAGGGGATGTGGTGGAGAGGTCCATTCGCACCCAAGGTCCTGCACCTACAAATACCATGGAGCTGTGAGTGGCTATCTTCCGTCTACTTGTGGGATCAAATGCCACGTCGAGTTGCTGCACATCACAGCGCTAGAGGGGGTCCTACACATTACTTGTTCCTGTCCCATGACTTTTGTCAGTGTCAATACAGCTCTATAGAATCAAGACCTTTTAACACAAAATATATGCATTGTTACACCCTTTATAAATGCTAAGCTTTATTTATGTAGTCTCTTTTGTACTTTAAAATAAAAAATAAACAATGAAAAATCAATAGGCAGAGAAGAATAAATACAACAAAGTGAGTAAAAGTTATATTTTAAAAATAATACAATAGAAATAAGAATGAAGACTAAATAAAATATAAAAAAACATATACAATGGAATCAAGGAACAATTAATTTGAATTCATGAAACTGTGTCCTTTATTACCTCGTATCTCCAAAAAAGTAACTTAAACTTAAAAAAACATTCTTAACTTTCAGTGTAAGTTAATGTTACAAAATGTAGTAGTCATTTTTGACAGTTTTTATGGTCCATGTATTATGAAATGTTGACACAATTTGTATAGTAGCTGGCATTTTAAAATGAAATTAAAAAAGAATAACAGAAAAGAAATGGATATAAGACATTTTGTTCAGACAGCTATGACATATTTGTTTTATACACCATGTTCCAAATTATTTTGCAAGTGATATATTGGTAGGGTTTTAGTAAAATAAACATTTAGATTTAATTTTTCAAATAAAGTTTTTGTTTGTTTTATTCCTCATATCTTTTTAGATAACTGGTATCAATCTCAGACAGGTTTGTTAATTAGTTTGCTAGGTGATCTTGATTAAAGGGAAACTTATTATTACCACATTATTAAGCAAGTCACAGTTCTCATGCAATATGGAAAGGAAGAAAGATCTTTCTGAAGACGAAAAGTGTCAAATAGTGCAAAGTCTTGCAGAAGGCATAAAAACAGTTGAATTTTCAAAAAACTGCTAGTATCAGTACTTCTAGTTGTAATAACATCAGCACTGTTGAGGATAAAAAATCCTTAAACATACTGACTGTTTAGGAGAAACAAACAAAAAAGGCATGTGCATAATTGTGACACAGTGTAGTTGTTACAGAACAATTTTTAGTTTTGAGATACTGAATAAGTCTTAAGATGAATAAGCCTTAAGATGAATAAGCCTACAGGAGTACAAATGTAATAGGTTTTGAGCTCTGTCAAATATTCTCTCTCTGTATCTGTCTTATTTTGTTTGTCTCTCTGCAGTGATGTCAGGGAACTCTGCAGACTCTCTGTCAGAGCAATCAGAAGGAGAGCAGGAAAAAGAAAAGAATGAATCGCCCACCGTTATGATTAAAAAGATCACCACTAACAACAAGCCCCCTCGCCCCAAGAAAATGAATTCCTCTCCCTTTTCCCCAAGCCGCAAGAGAAGCTCTGGACAGGCCAAACCAGGTGAGTATATAATTGTGTTTATGAATATTAGTGTCTACTAATTAACATAGCTAATTAGACTCTCACTACTGTGTAAGATTATGGCCATATGTGTACAAGATTTCCTTTTCAAACAGCCCTTTCTCTGTCTGTAAGCTACACTAAGTAATGTGGTTGCACATGACCAATGATTGTCCTCTCTTTCTCTGTCTCTCTCTCCCCACGCCCTCCTCCCTTTCCCACCTCAGGTAAACGGGGTGTTCTGAAGCGGCCTTGGTCTGAAGCAGAGCGTGCAGCCGTGGAGTCCCATCTTGTGCGTAACATCATGGAGCTGCGTGTTCCCGCTAAAGCTGACTGTGAACGGTGCCTCGAGCAGTGCCCCCTTCTGGTCACCAACCGCCGTGACTGGAGGGCCATTAAGTTCTACTGCCACAATCGTATTCAGCTGCTGAAAAAAACCCAGCAGAGACAGAGCCCACCCACCCTGTCTGTTTGCTGAGGTGGCCAGACAGGGAGGTGTAGCGTAGGTGTAGTCCAAAGTAGGAAGAGAATGTGAGAATATTTACCAGAATAAAGCTGTAATTTTAATGTGTAGCCTCTTTTATGTACAATTAGCAGACATTTTTGTTCCAGTGCTTTGCCAAGGCTTTGACAGAGGCATTGACAGAGGCACATTGATGAAGATTAACATATAAACAAAAGACTTTTTTTTTTTTTAGAAAAAAAAACATTCATACTTGTTTTGTATAGGAAGATAGAAATGGTACTTTAAGGCTTTCAAACTTGAGGAAAGGTGCTTCTAATGCTAGACTGACCCACAAATATTCAACCCACAAACACAGCCAGAGTTTTCATAATCATTTCACAATCTTTATGACTTTACAGAAGAAAGAACACTAATCATCACTAGTCATTATTTGAGCCCTTGCTACCTTTTATATTGTGTAAACATTTTATGCTGAATGGACCACTTGGTACATTAATGTATATTCGAATTTAAGAACTGATAATGAAAGTTATTGTTTTGGAGGTTTCGTTCCTGACAGCAACGATATGTCTCCTTAAGGTCATCAACACCCTTAACATTCTATTTGAAAATTTAAATGGTGGTAGTCCCTTGTGAGCTGTGTCTGGCTCTCTGCTGTTACCTTACACTCAGACAGAAAAAGAACATAAGCAAAGGCCAAGAAAACACTTTAACCCAGTTTTTATTTTGGCATAAAAGTGTTAGCGGACAGTTTGTGTCTATGGGCATTTATGGCTTAGCAAAGTCACATTGCCAGAAAGGAAAGCACACAGCAAGCAATTTCATTTTAAATTTTCAAATAGATGACATTGCCAATACTAGTGTAGATTGATTCATATAGGACATTGCAAAAAAATGAATGTATGAAAGATGGAAGATAGAAGGACGATTAGGAAAGAAAGTGAAGAGTAGGGATCCACATCTTTTCCTTGCTGTTGGAATGCAGAGTTTGCTTGGCAACCTTGATCATACATGCATTTTGAAAAAAGTGGATCTGACCAGTTTGCTCAGCCAGCATTTCACTTTTTTTTTTAACAGTTTCATAACAGCGGCAGTTTTTATCACAGTCTTTTACATTTTCACGTTTTATTACTTTTATGAACGTTTATTTATAAGTGACGGAACATATTTGAATTCAGTGATTCATTAAAAATCTTCCACATTTCCACACAAATAGTTCCATTGGTATTCTCGTTTTCTGATTTGCTGTGTGGGTTAGAGATGATTGTAATAGCTTGGACGTTCTAACAGAACTTTATTCTGCATTCGCACAAGGCTTTGTAAACAATGCCTAACGAAGGTTGACTAGTTGAGCTTTACTTAGATGTGTATTTGTCAAAACTGTTTATATGATTCGAACTTTCTTATACAAAACACGCAACCACACTTCGCACCTCAGCTTATATTTTTATTATTTAACAATCCATATTATTCTTTGTGCAGTGTGTTGTCTTCAGTTCTGTCTACACTTGCTGTGTACATAGAGGTAAATATATGATGATTCTTATTATTAATATTAGTGTTATTATTGTCCTCCTTGTTATTATTTGAATGCATATTCTTTTTGGTATGGAAAGCTTTCCCTCCCCCCATTTCAAACTTCTTGTAAATATTTGTGTATAATATATGCATATATATAAGTATTACAGCAGGAAAAAAGAATCACATAACACATTGTATATACAATGCTTTGTTTTGTGTTTTTTTTAAGTGGTCTGACATGATAATAAAGTTTCATTTGTTTTTCTGTAGTTTTATTCCAGTAACATTGGTGGAAATTGTATACCAATCATATCCACTAGAAGGCACTTTTTAAAAAGTGGGACAAAGTCTTACCAATAGGCTGTGCAACTCATTCATGTTTAACTTTTAATTTACAATAATAAGGAAACAATGCCACAGAATTTATTCTGCTTGGTATAGTAACATCTTGGAAGAATATCTAATAGTGCTTATTTATTTTATGTATTACATGTATTTTTATACACCTATTCACAATCAAGTTTGGATTTTATTGGTCTGTGTTTACTACACATTTTCTATAAAAACATTAGGCATATATACATATGCATGTATACATTATATGGACCAAAGTGTTGGGACACATACACATTACACCTACAGCTTTTATGACATCCCATTCTAAATCCATAGGCATTAATATAGAGTTGGTCCCCACTTTGAACCTATAACAACTTCCATTCTACTGGGAAGTGTTCTACAAGATTTTTGAGTGTGTCTGTGGGAATTTTTGCCCCTTCATCCAGAAGTACATTTGTAAGGTCAGACACCTATGCTGGATGAGAGGGCCTGGCCTGCAATCTTCGTTCTAGTTCATACCAAAGGTGTTTGATGGGGTTGATGTCAGGGCTCTGTGCAGGCCAGTCAAGTTCTTCCACACCAAACTCACCCAACCATGTCTTTATGGATCTTTGTGCACTGGGGCACAGTCATGCTGGAAGACACCTATTGCTGGTGAAGTGTTTCTTTTTACCATAAATTAGTGTAATGCTTTCCAATAGGTCGAACAGCTTGGTCCCTTATTTACTGAAGTACAATGGCCAGTAGTTTCAGGGCAAGAATGTACAACCACATTTCCAAAAAAGTTGGGACGCTGTGCAAAATGTAAATAAAACAAAATGCAATGGCGTGAAGATAATTTAAACTCTATATTTCATTGAAAATAGTAAAAAGACAACATATCAAAAGTTGAAACTGGGAGATTTTATTGTTTATTGAAAAATATTTGCCCATTTTGAATTTGATGCCAACAACACGTTTCAAAAAAGATGGGCCAGGGGCAACAAAAGGCTGGTAAAGTTGTGTAATGCTAAAAAAAACACCTGGTGGTTGATTGACAACAGGTCAGTAATATGATTGGGTACAAAAAAGCATCCCGGAGAGTCTTTCAGAAGTAAAGATGGGAAGGGATTCACCACTCTGTGAAAGACTGCACAGGCAAATAGTGCAATAATTTAAGAATAATGTTTCTCAACATAAAATAGTAAAGAACTTTTGCTTTTCATCATCTATGGTACACAATAACATTAAAAGATTAACAGACTCCAGAGAAATCTCTGTATGCAGTGGACAGGGCCAAAAACCAGTATTGGCTGTGCATTATGGAGGTGCATTAGTGCACATGGCATGGGTGACTTACACATCTGTGAAGGGACCATTAATGCTGAACGATAATATATAGCATTGCTCCATATTATAAGAGTCTGGGTGCTAAACTGGCCTGCCTGCAGTCCAGACCTGTCACCCACCGAAAACATTTGCCACATTATGAAATGAAACATACAACAAATGAGCCCCTGAACTGTTGAGCAGCTGAAATCCTATATCAAACAAGAATGGGAAAACATTTCACTTTCAAAACTACAGCAATTGAACTCCTCAGTTCCCAAATGCTTACAGAGTATTGTTAAAAGAAGAGGTGATGAAACACAGTGGTAAACATGCCCCCCGTCCCAACTTTTTTGGAACGTGTTGTTAGCATCAAATTAAAAAAAAACTATAACATTTCTCAGTTTCAACATTTGATGTCCTTGTAGTATTTTCCTTTAAAAATAGGGTTTACATTATTTGCATATCATTGCATTCTATTTTTAATTTACATTTTGCACAGCATCCCAACTTTTGTGGAAATGGGGTTGTACAATAACCTTGTAACACCAAACAACGGTTATATTCACAGTCTCAGGCAAATGATCGAACAAGACAAACAAAAACAGACTTGCTGTGCTTGACTACTCACATGGCAAAACATGAACAGAAGACACATAGCTTATTGAAATGAAAAAGGTAAAGAAAATATAGAGTTGAGTTTAAGAGCCATTATGTCTGACTTTCAAATTGTAATAATTTTTTAAATTTCTCTTTTTAACACATTCATTAAATCTGTTGTGTTTATTGCTGGAATCATCATGGTTTCATGCCTAATTTATGTTTATCTGCAATCAGCCTGTCTAGCATAGTGATTTATTCTTAAGGTTGTTTGATATTCAGCATAACACTAATCTTCCTAACATTTGAGCCTTGTTAAAGGGCCTGCACACCCCTTTTCAACATCATGTTTAAAAGGTCTGACATTACACACTAAAGTAGTTGCACATTGTTTTAAATTTTGACTTTTTTCTTAAGTCTATGGTTGGTTTAATTTGAAAAGATTTTTAAGATTTTTAAGCCCAAACTTAAATCTTTAAAGACTGATCGACCTGTCAGAGTTGTGCTGCTATCAGAACAGGTCCAGTATAATACTGTTCCTTTGTCCCAGTTGCTTTATTTACTAATCTTACATTCCAGTTTGTTCTTATTAGCTAGCTAGCTCTCAATCCAGTATTCAGATGTTTTCAAAATTTTCCGGCTGTGAGCAGCTCGTCCCTTTCCACTTTTAATTGCATTGTGGGATAATAATGTCTATCAACACCATAAGCCCTGTCTCAACTGGCACACTTGCAGTCTTGTGGGCCTCAATTGCGCATGCTTGTGAGGACCAACAGCAGTAGGGTGTCCCATTTCTAATTTCAGTGGTTGCAAGGACTGCATTAATACAGACTTAGCAGTGGCATCTTACACGAAATTCATAGAGACCAGTGCAGGGGTTTGTTAACTGCTATCTGACAAGCGTGATGGAGAAAAACATACTCAGATGTAAATTGAAATGTATTTGTTTATAAATTCAAATTGTCACTGAGCTGCATTACGCTTGTAACTTAATCTATTTGGGTATGGCACATAAGAGCCTGCACAAGTCTGTCCCAAGCACACTGGTATAATAACGGACAGCGATTATTCCCCATTTGGAAAGTTCTTGTAAGATGTCTCACATCTTACTAAACTTCACTGAAACTCAAACTCCCCTGACCAGCACCACTTATGTGATATAAATGGTGAAAAAAGTTGACTATTATAAACCACAGAGCACAAAAAAAAATGGTTTTCCCTATGTCGTGATAATGGTTTCATGCTAAGGCTAATGAATATGACTTCTGAAAAGTGGTACAGCACTTTTTTCTCTCTTTAAGTTCAGCTGGCTCAGTGAGAGCTGCAATTTCTCTCCCACTTTCTCTTAATCTGAAAATGGACAACGTGCAAGAATTCAAGGATTTTTTAGGTAAAAATGCTAATATTAAAAAGGTGCTATTAATGAACACAAGCTACTAGGAGCTCATAGACATGATTACAAATGAGATTATGCTAGGCGGTCTTCGCTAGTTTTCAGTCACTGTTATTCCTTTATTTTATAGTTCAGGGTTCACTGCCTGATCTGGAGCCTGTGTGTATGGAAGATTTATGTTTTGGTCTGTTTCTTCCTTTGCACAGAGTGTGCTCTCTATATATTCTGCTGCTGTGGGCTCAGACAGTATTGTGCAATCCACACCATCCTCATCCTGCGATTCTGAAGCCATCATTTTAGTGCTCTCTGACTGACCCTGAATATCATGCTGCTCAAAATGCAAGACTTCAGCATCTTCCTCTGCTGGACCTTCAAAAACAACTTGAGCATTTTTTGAGTTCCTATCACCATGGGTTGCCAGATCTTGGTCGTTGTCTAGTGAATGCGGCTTGTAATTGTCTGATGCTCTCTCCATAGCGCAAATTGTCTTCTCTGAGTAAAAGCAGGCAGAGTAGCCGTGCTCACTGCTTAGGTCATCGCTGGGGCATGTACTTGATGTTGTTTCTGTTTGGAAACTGGATCCTGCTGCGTTTGTGTTTTTAGAGAAAGCTGCACTGTGACGCTCTGGGTGTGGGAACATTTTAGAAGATTCAGAATGGCCTGGGTCTGCACATAAAGCTGTGTCTTCTGTCACCTCCTCTCCGGCCACAACCTCCTCGTCTCCTGTCACATCACAGAAAACAGTCTTAACACGGCAGAGAAGATTTTAAACTAAGTCAATCACTTTAGTTTGAAAAATTCAAACATTCAATAACCAGCAAATCGTGTCCAAATACATGTGACTTCAGCAGTCTTCAAGCTGGATCAGTTTTACCAGAGGTATTTCTGAAATCTGTACAGGACTGTGACTGACTAACTGGTTTGAGATAAAGTACCTATGTAATTACCCACATTTCCCACAGATAGCCCAGATTAACAGGTCATAGCCCGATTGTTCAAGCCAGCATTTACACCACAAGATACTCAATAACAACACAAGGCTGTGACTTTAGCAAGATTTATTATTTCAACAGCGTGAGGGGGACTGGAACAGTACTTCTATTAATGAGGGAGCTCTGGGTTTAGCCAATTACAGAACGCCGTTCACGCCACAACTACTCTTGTCAGACCTTAAATACTATATACAATGCAGATTTATACTGGATTAAAATCACTCCACAATTATTACTGTCAGACTGTAAAAAGTACACACTGCAGATTTTTACTGAATTAAAATTCTTTCACAATGAATACTGTCAGACTTCTACACATACAGCAGATTCATAATGAATTAAAATCACAGATCTCGGTGATCACTTAAATTTTAGAACCTCCCCAGGTAAAGCTAATCCAACTCTAAAAGGGCTTGTCTTGCTTGAAAATGAAGTTTGAGACTGTGGACAAAGTCACCTCAGTAGTTATTAGTAAATTATCTGATGACTCACCCATAGATGCCTGCCTTAGTGGTGCTAGATGTTCCATGGAGGACTGGACGGGCTGCTGATCAATTATCATATCCTTTCCTCCTATCAATTAATCACAATACAACTGCTAACCACACATGTGAGTAAATTTTACTGGTGTATGACAAATGAAGGCATAAGAAGATAAATTCGATTTAAAAACCATGCTTTAGAAATGCATGCAGAGTAACTCTGTTTAACAACATGCAAGGTTAAGAAAAGGTGTGGTGGAAAGTGTGATTCAAAAAAGTATAGGAAAATGTACAAGAGAAAAAATAGCAAAGCATAAATCAGAGAAAAAGAAGAAAAAGAAATTTTAAGCAGTAGATAAAGAACCATACTCCCTAATCCCACAGATACGTTGTAGGTAATCCCTAGGTTTCATTCAATTTCATTTAGACAGAAAAAGAGACAGAAAAGAAACAAGTGAAAAAAAATGCAATTGTTAATTTCAACCAAGACGTTTTGTAAAATCTAATAGACAGAGTAACAGACAGAATATTAATAAATGGTAAATATCATCATCATCATCATCATCATCATCATCATCATCTTTAGCCACTTAATCCAATGGGATCACGGTAGCAGTTGGGACCGCAGAGAATCCCAGACGACCCTGTCCCCCGCAACTTCCTCTAGCTCATTCTGGGGGACCCCGAGCCACTCCCAGACCAAATTGGAGATATAATTCCTCCAGTGGATCCTAGGACAGCCCCAGGGTCTTGTCCCAGTAGGTCATGCCTGGTAAACTCCCAATGGGAGGCATCCAGGGGGCATCCTGATAAGATGCCTGAACCACTTCAACTGGCTCCTCTCAATGTGGAGGGGTTGTGGCTCCTCCCGGATGACCGAGCTCCTCACCCTGTCAAGTAGAGTGTAGCCCATCACCCTGCAAAGAAAGCTAATTTCTGCCGCTTGTATATGCGATCTCATTCTATCGGTCACTACCCACAGCTCATGACTCGGGATGTAGACCGACCGGTAAAAACAGAGAGCTTTGCCTTACGGCTCAGCTGCGTCTTCAATACCACAATCAGGTAACAGTGACCGCATTACTGCTGCCACCTGTCCCAGCATGCAGCCAACCTCACGATCCCTCTTCCCATCACTCAGGCTTGGGGGTGCTGATCCGCATACCAACTGCTTCACATTCAGCTGCAAACTGCACCAGTGAGTGCTAGAGACATCCATGCAATTTGGCCAAAAGGACATCATCATTCACAAATAGCAGAGAAGCTACCCTCCGGCCTCCAAACATAACGCCCTCATGGAGTCCAACATTCACACTTAACGAGAGATGGAATGGCCCGAAGTAGTGGCCCCAGCGCCCCATACTCCCAGAGGACCTCCCACAGGATATCTCGGGGGAACGCTGTCGTAAGCCTTTACCAAGTCCATGAAACACATGTAGACTGGGTTGGCAAATTCCCATGCCCCTTAACAATCTGCATGAGGGTGAAAAGCTTGTCCATTGTTCCACGGCTGGGAAGGAATCCACACTGCTCCTCCTCAATCTGCCAGTCCGAGGGTACTGTTTCCAAGGTCCACGCAACATTGCAGAGGCGTGTCTGGCACAACAGCCCCACAACATCCAGAGCCTTAAGTATTTCCAGACGAATCTCATCCACCCCCGGTGCCTTGCCACTGAGGAGTTTGCCAACTGACATCCACCAGGGAAATGGAGTCTGACACGCCAGAAGTTGTTCCTCAAGGTGCACCTTCCACTGACCGACAATAGCTTCATTTAAAGTCAGAGTTTCTTCACCCCCGAAGCCACACTGACCACTCCAGAGTTGCCAGATAGTTGTCCAGAACCTCCTTGAAGCCAACCGAAAGTCTTTTTCCATTGCTTCACTGAACTCCTCCCATGCTCTGAATTTTGCTTCAGCCACCGATCCAACTTTCCACCAGATGGTGATCGGTTGACAGCTCAGCACCTCTCTTCACCCGCGTGTCTAGAACACATGGTCCCAAGTCAGATGAAAAGACAACAAAGTCGATCACTGACCTTTGACCCAAGGAGCACTGGTACCATGTACACTCATGAATATCCTTGTATTTGAACTTGCCGCTTGTTATGGACAATCCATGCCTAGCACAGAAGTCCAATAACAATTCACTATTTGAGTTTAGTTTGTGCAGGCCATTCTGTCCAGTCATCCCCCTCCAGGTCTCCCAGTCATTGCCAACATGAGTATTGAAGTCTCCCAGCAAGACTATGGAGTCTGTAGGTGGGGCCCTTTCCGGAACCCTCACTCCAAGAAGGCTGAATACTCCGAACTGTTGTTTGGTGCATAAGCACACACACAACAATCAGAGTTTTCCTTCCTGCGATTTTAACTCAAAGTGGACCCTCTCATCCACTGGGACAAACTCCAACTGTACAGCAGCCAGCCAGGGACTCGTGAGTATTCCCACACTCTCCCAGCGCCTCTCATTCTGTGCAACTCCTGAGTAGGAAAGGGACCAACCCTTATCAAGGAGTTTTGTTCCAGAGCTGACACTGCGGGTGGAGATGAGCCCGACTATATTTAATCGATACCTCTTAACCTCCCGCACAAGCTCCGGCTCTTTTCCCAACAGTGAGGTTACATTCCATGTACCAAGAGCCAGTTTCCGCCACAGGGGTCCACGCTGCCAAGGACCTCTCTGCCATCTCCCACCGCCTATATGGCACTGCATTGGTTCCCCATGCTGGACCTTGCAGTTGGTGGTCCCACATGGTCCAATGGTAAATAATAATAGCAAAAAGCCATAATTCAGCCATAATTGTAAACATATATTCCATTTAAATTCCTAATTCCATAGTCCAATACCATGCGTAATATATCAAATTTCCCAGATATTTCATAATCGAACAGTATGAAATAAGTCCTGATCTTATTAAGATAGAGCAGTAAAAGTGCTTAATATTTCAGTGGCTTTCTGTTCCACTCCTGAGATATTCATTTACAGCACATTTTAGGGTTTTCTGCTCCAAGATACCATTGCATTAAACTCAGGCAATTATCAAGCCCTTTAGGAGCTGTGTCAGGTGTTTTAGAGATAATACAAAAACATGCAGTGCATGGCATCCATTAAGAATCAGTGTAACGAAACTGAGTAAAATTCTCATAAATGTGGCAAAGTTGTGTTTACCAGGCAGACTCCATAGCCCAGAATCTTCCAGAGTTTTTAGCTTACCCTCCAGCTCTGCTACTCTGTTACCTAGAATCCTGTTTCAACAGAAACATGAATATAGAAATAAGATAGAACAGAAGAAAGACTGTGTTATGGTGATAACAACAGCTGCAATTAGATTGCAGTAGATGATCATAATCAGATTTTATGTATGATGTCACACAACCTCATTTGTTTTACTGTTTTTAATCACAATTTTGCAAAGTAAAGCAAATAAACCCTAAACATTTGTAGCATGCTTTGCTGTTTTAATTCATAAACTGATCAGAATTTTTTGAGCAAAGTGAAATCTGCATCGGCAGGCAGCAGGATGTTTAGAAAGGCCAATAGTAAATGAATGGCTGAGTGCTAAAGACACGTCTCCCAACCCCCAGCTGCTCCCCCCGTTTTGGAAACCGGGTGCAGAAGTGGGAAAAGGGGGGTGGCCCATTAGGGACAAAACTATAGGACCCTAGATCTGGAGACCTTTTGACTAACAGTTTAAGTGCAACTTTATGGAACCTCATGCCACCCTTTTAAACATCCCAAAGAGACCTTTGGACATCACATACATTTTGGATACAAATAAATTATGACTTTTGAAAACTCCTTTCTCTCTCACACACACTCATCTCATCTCCCCCACAAAGAGAGACACCTCTAGCCTAAACAGGTAAGGCCAAGATGGCCCATTAACCAGCCCTGGTTGAGGCCTAATGGCCTCTCACAAGGCTCTTAGCAGAGATGTTCAAAAATTCCTATGCATCCTAAATACCTTAGGACTTTGAAAGAGGCTAAACTTTAAACTATGAAACCCCAGTCTTAAATGTTAAATCAAATGCATTTCCTTTATCAAACTGTGAAGAACACCTCTGTTACTGTTAACATGTTGTATTGTAAGACAGGAATCAATTCATCCCTGCCAAAGTGGAATTAATACTAAACTCTCTACACTTAGTAATTATTTTAATTCTTGAATTGTAACCGTTTCATTAATCTAGGTTATTGTATTGATCTTTGATCACTTGTAACTGTGTTCATTTAATTCATTTTATTATTTTTTCCATTTTCTTTTAAGTGAGAAACATGCAATCCATGTTTCTTAATCAGTATAATCTGCTTTTCTTGCAAGTCTTCTTGTAGTTTTATTAGAAGTAGAATTATAAAGTTTGTAGCTTGTGTGACAATGTATACTTTAATCAGAGTTTCTGCCAACATATCTACAGAAATATTGATAATGCACTCACTTATTTTACTCTGAGTTATTATGTAGCCATTCATTTAGGCATTGTTTAGCAATGGTAGTTATACCAGTACTTATAACTTCAAAACTGTCTTTTAACAATTTAATTATTTTTTCTAAGTAGTTAATTTATTTTTATATGACTAGCATGGTTAAGGATTTAACTAACTGTATGTAACCATAGTATGAAATACGTTTAGATATCATGATCAGTAAGTTATTTGTAATGGTCACTATGGAAACAGTAATGTTTTATATATGAAATTGTATGCTTATAAGTTTCTTTTACTTAAATGTAACCACACCTAGAATCTCCAAAGGATTATGTGACACTTGAGCAGCATTAAAAGAAATTGCATATTCATTATATGCAACCTAACAAACCAACCAAAACCTTCTCCCCGCCTTAGCTCCGCCTCTCAAAGTTCTTTCCTTAAAACCAGCAAGGAAGAGAAGAAACAATTAAGAGAAGGAACAAGAACAGTCAGAAGGACAGTGCTGGCCCTGAAGGCGGTGAGACAGCAAACATGTAACCTTAAAGAAACTACAAGTAAAGAAGCCCGCTCTCCTCTTCTCCTCTTTAAGAGCTGCATCTAGCTGCGTTAGTTTTTCAAGCTTCGTTAATCCATTTTGAAAGTCTAATTGACAACGATAGGGCGCTGCGAACATAGTTGAAGGACAGAAATAGAAGAAAAATCAGTGCTGACTGAAATCCACATCAAGAGCCTGCTCCAGCCGCTGCCTGCCTCCATCGCCAAGCAGAAGACCTGCGTTCCTCACCGGAGAGGCCGCCACACGTTGCAGGAAGCCTGCCTCACCAGTGTGGTCCGGTCCAATGCGTCGGCCAAGGGCTCGCACCTTCAGCGGCCTCACCCTTTGACCTGCAGACCCTTCCCAGCCCATGTGAGCAGCGGCTTCTCTTCCTCAACGCGGCACGCGCATCACCACAGCTCTGAGGCGTCCAGCGTCTTTGCTCTTTGACCTGCGGACCCTTCTCCAGCCCATGCCAGAAGCGCCCTTTCTTTCTCAACGTAGCACATGCGTCACAACGGCTCTGAGGCATCCAGGTAATAGATTCACCCACACGGCAACTTTTTGTGATTCAGTCACTGTGATTTCGCTTTTCCTTGATTCAAACTTTTTTTACGCTAGCGTTAGCATTGTTTTGCTCGCTGCTCAAAGGCCACGTAATTTAGAGAATCAGCTAATTTCAGTACGTTTGTTTGGTAAATTCAATACCCCTGGTTTCTTTTCATAACTAGCAATCCAATATTTAGTGCAATATACCTTTGTAATCCATTATTTTGTGCTTATATACCTGTATTAATAAATAAACCTTTATCAAGTCATCTCTGTGATGGTGTGCATATGAAAAACATCAATTCGATTCTTTTCCCTGGACCATGGGCAAGCTCTCACTTGAATTTAATTAAAATATCCGTGTCTTATGGTAAGTGAGAAATTAGCTGCTTTAGAGGCCTTGTCCCCACTACACATTGTTTCTAATGTGTGTATTTTTTTCTGTATACCTGACAGTTAATCAGAACTACTGGCAGTGTGTCGTTTTAGTTAACATTGCTGTGGTCAAATAATAGACAAATAGAAGCACAATTCATGGCTACATTTCAAAAAGCAACATCTCAACAAGAAGATTTGTAAGGGGTACTGTGGGGTTTTCCAAAACAATCACTGCAATTAATCTCATAGTTAAAACTGATGATAGCTAATGGAGATGAGTAAATCACTAGGAGTAGAAAAATAGGTATTGGTAGCAGGCAGAGATTCACAGAAAACGCTAGAAAAAAAGAATAATAATAATAATGTGGGACAGTAGGGTGTTTGAACAGTTTGAGCATGATGGTGTACTTTTAGATGCTCATCTTTAGGTGAAGTGCTTCTACTAAAAATAGCTCATTTTCAAGCTTAGAAGTTTTTAAAGACGAAATATCATTGTTGCCCGACACTATCAGCCGAAGTGGTATTGTGCCATCTCTAATTGCTAGACTGAATCTAGGATAAAACACTGTTTTCACTAGGCCCACCCAATTTCAAATCAGTATCAGAAAATCAAAATGAAAATTGCAAACACTGCAAAATATCTGATACATTCCTCACTCTATTCCAAGCATCATTTACATTTAGAAGCTACTGTCAATGATCAAAACTTGGTATCTGGTTGCATTCTGCCTATTTCTGTATTGTTTATTATTCAGTTGCAAGTTTTTATAAGCTTACTATTTTGCTTAAGCACATGCTACTTTGTAATCTTTTGTTTTAAAATAAAATGTATCTGAGCCGAACTAGTGTGTGGTATGTTTGTGATTGGAGCTCTATAAAATTAAGACATTTTAAAACATAAAATATTAGAAATCAAAGCAAGACTTCACCTAAAAATAAAAAAAAATGTATCAAATGTGTAAATGTCGAATGTGTTGTTTTACATTATAATGAACACATCTCTAATGTAAGGAAAATATATATATATATATATATATATATATATATATATATATATATATATATATATATATATATATATATATATATATACACACACACACACCACAGCAGTGATACCAGTCAGTCAGTTTTTACCTCCTCAAACAGAATTTTCATATTGATTGAGCCATAATTTTAAGCTATATCAGTAACTCACTTGTTGGTTTGCCTTTGGTGCTGAATGACCATGTTCTTTTCGTGGATGGTCTCAAGCAGAGCAGTAGCCAGCGACTTCAGGTCACTTATAGACTGTGGAGTGACCGGGAGGCTACAGCCATTTTCCTCGGACAACAGCAGCTCTTGCACTGGTTGACAACATAAATATACAAACATATTTTTTAAAAAAAAAAAAGCCTTCTGCCCAATGACCGCTAGGATAGGCTCCAGAGTTGACTCTATAAGTTCTGGAATTAAACAGACCTGCTTGTGACACATTATAAAGCACAAAATACGAAAATGAAAGCCCTGTACTTTTATGCAACCAAAGAACTGCAATAAAATGCTGCTTCAAATCTGGATCAACTGGTGTCTTCAATGCCCATTTATATTTACATAAAAGTTAATAAGGTAAAATATCAAATCCTATTTTTTACTGTTTCCAATTTAACACAGGTAAAACAGAATTTACTAATCAATGCGTTGTGCTTTTATTAGCATTTCACATAGTTTTTTGGAATTGAAGATCGGAAAATATAAATGTAAAAACAACATTAAGGACACTGATTAGCAGAAAAACATGAGGTACATTAGCAGCAGTCATAAAATATGTTTAAAGCTGCGATGTGTTAATTAACTGAATAAAAGCAAAATTGCTGTACAGGTGAAATGACTGTTCACTACTCACTACTGATGAAAGTGTCTGGTTCGATACCTTGCTTGGCTGAAAGTACTCCTGTTAAAGCACTACTGTTGGCCTTGCCATAAACTCTACAGTTCTTCTTACTCTCCAAAGCACTCTGCAAAGAAATCAATTGGATATATGCATAACAAATGTGTTATATTTGTAAAATGGTCCATTAGCTAATCAGCTAGGTAAAGCAAAAATCTGTTCCCTGGTTTATGACCACCATTAATGTGTGTAGGGATGCTTATTTAGCTCAAGCTGAATAAATAAACAGCCAGTCAGCTTAATGTTATTCAGTCATGCTCAGGGAGATGTCCTTGCACTGATCTTCTCTAAGCCAGTAAAAGTGACAAATCTTATTTACAATTTTAAATTTGATAAAAATGACACGGAAAGTGCTGTACATCTGTTTGTTTTCATTTCCAGCCTTCTGTTAAACACTCACCTTATACTTCATTAAATTAGTTTTGAGAAGGTTGACTTCTTCCTGAATTTGCACAAACCGTTCATGGAGGTATCTACAAAACAATGAGAATATGCACAAAAACAAAAATTCAAATGGAATTTTGAAATTTTAACCAAATTGAATTTGGAATTTTTAATCTGTTTATTCATCACAGTTAAATGCTATTGTCAGGCACCCATTTCACTGCAATGTTGACTAGATCTGTTGCAGCTCACTGGGTAGCAACTCAACCTATTTATTTCACAGTCAACGAAAATCTCCAAATATGTATGTACTCTTAGAAGCACGGAGTTATTAGTCATTGTCATTCTGTAATACTATTTTAAATGTAAATGTTATAAAAATATTTAATAACATAGTTACATTAGATAAGCAATTAATTTACATTTGAATTACACTTTGTATGAATAAATTTCTGACTTCTTTCCAATAGTTTCAATGTCAAACACTGACAAAAACATCGCAAAAATATTACAAATGTTTTTTTTCTTTTAACAAAAAAAGAAATAAGACTATGAACAACAATAAATTTTAATCTGTATAACCATTGAATAACCATTTCAAACTACAACATACTTATGTTAGCTTTCCATTCAGACTGCAGGCAAATCAGATAAGTTTCCTAAATTATTTTAGACTGAGTGACCAGATTTTGTTACAAGCGATCAAATCTGACTGTTTTGGTCACATTGTAGTCTTCTTTTCTTGCATATCCACATTTGTTGGCATAGTAATGACACAAATGTAAGTACACTGGCTAGGAAGGGTAGGCAAAACTTTGCGATCAGGTCACTGCTACCTGAAAGGTAGGACACTCTGTTAGGACTGCACAATAAATTGTTCCTTAATTATTATTGCAATATTAACTTTTGCAATATCACAGAAAGCTGTGAACAAATGATTTTTTTTTGTCAAAATTATGCCAGCTAATCTTAAACATCACATTATTGTGTGTTTTTCCACTCAGACCAGCGCGACACACACTAACACACCACCACCATATCAGTGTTACTGCAGTGCTGAGAATGATCCACCACCCAAATAGTACCTGCTCTGTAAGGGTCCATGGGTGTCCTGACCACTGAAGAACAGGGTAAAAGGGGGCTAACAAAGTATGCAGAGAAACAGATGGACTACAGTCTGAAATTGTAGAAATACAAGTGCACCTATATAGTAAGTGGAGCTGATAAAATGGACAATGAGCGTAGAAACAAGGAGGTGGTCATAATGTTATGCCTGATCAGTGTATATGTTGTGAGGCAAACTGCAAATACAACATGTAGCAATATAATTGCAAAGTGGTATACTCTACCAGGTTATCAACAGAAAAATCCAATAGTAACACTACAATACCACCACTAACCTGTTTTCCAAGCACAGAGCATCCACATCCAAGATCCGGTTGTCATGGCAGCCCAGGACATGGTTGATCTCAAGGTTGAGGCGCTGAGCTTTCTCCTGGTACACGTTCCTCTCTGCTCGGACGTCCTGCAGCTCATCCGCTGCCGCTTTCAGGCTATTTTCCAGCTCCTCATTCTAAAAAAAACCCAAAACAAAACTGTTTTTGTAGTTTGAACTCAGTACTGTATTTGCAATGTACACTGTATGTCCAAAAGTGTCCAAACAGCCCTTATAACTTGACAATTTAGCTACTTAAGGGGGTGTACCCATTTTTGACACAGCTGCGTATGACCCTAAGATCACACCAAGCATCAGCAAGAGGGATATATGAGTCTAAGATCACCATGACCAAGCATCAGCTAGAGGGGCATAAAGTCCCCCAGCATTGGCATGTGGAGCAGTGGAACTGCATTCTCTTTAATGATGGAGCACCATCCAATACCTTTAGGATGATCTGGAGTGGCATTCCAGAACTAATTGTCCAACAAAAGTACCTAACCTCTCCAAAGCTCTTGTGGGTAAATGCAATCAACACATAATGCGGAAACAGTTAGATAATTGGAAAATTGTAGAACTTTAAAGTTTACTGATATGGTTAAGTAGTCCTGATAATATGGGCAATGAGTATAGATACAAGATGTATGTTACCTAGTAAAGTGGCAAATAAATGCACAATTTATAACCTTAAAAACCCAAAGGGACTTAATTCACACAATTTAATGTGTTTAGGCTCATACAGCCTGACTTGCAAGAAACATATTATGCAATTCTAGCAAAGAATGCTAAGGGGATTTTGCCTGGAGAAGGTGTGTTAATTTGTAATTTACAAATTTGGTCATTTTTCTGATTGATCTAGTTTTGTCTTAGTTTTTCCTCACAATATTTGTGAACTACCCTGTTGCTATTCGACTGGTTTTTTCACCCATGTTATTGTTTGTGCACTAGGTTGTGTTTGGGACCTACCTGCTCTCGTGCTCTCTCCAACTGATGGACCAGATCCTCTCTCTCATGTGCTGGAAAATAGCGAACGCCCACCTCTTCATCACCAAGGCGCTGTTTTGCAATGGTCATTCTGAGCAGCTGCAAGGTTGAGATAGGTCTGGGCACTTATTTTAAAACATCCCAAGAGATTTAAAAAGTAAAAAAAAAAATAATAATTCATTGGCTCCTGAATGCCATTTCAAATTTCGTACTCGAGACACTTAGCTAGCTTTGGTTATAGTGAGCCTGCTTGGTGGCTGATATAGAAGATAGGTGGAAAACTGAAATAGTATTCAACCATACAATTATTTAATAATAATTTATTTGTGTATTTGTACAATTGTGCTTATTTATTTTAGAACATACACTGCTTTAATAGTTTGTGAAACTGTAGGATATTCTGATCATCTTTTAAACATTTCTGTAGTAATTTTACGATTCTGCTGTTTAAGCCTCTATAGAAGAAGGGCTGCGCGATACGCAGGACAAAATGCAATATGTAAAGATACAATATATTGCTATATTGGTAGATAATGCAATTGTGATGTGACTTTATACACTATATTAACTACATTAAAAACAACAAATAAAAAGTGGCCTGCTATAATTGGACCAACATAATTCACCATTGGTCTTTTTGTTCATCAAAACACCCACAGAAACTCATCTGAAACACTGGAGATGCACAATTATGGTGATTTATCAAAGGGCTTTTTTGCACACTGTGGCCTTCTACAATATCAGTAGAGCAAAGGCCAATATCACAGTTACATCTGATAAATGATATATATTGTGCAGCAATGAATAGAAGTGTGTGTGACCAGACATATTTCATATCATTAACTTTTTACCTTGTTGTCACCCTGGACCTCCGCTAACCTCTGGTTGAGCTCTTTCACCTCATCACTCAGCTTCCTGTTCTTCTCCTGAGCATCTCTCAGCAATTGAGCTAGATTCACCTAGTAAGCATTCAAACGCAGCATCAACTCAGTAACAAATTCAGAGACGCTATGAATGGCATTGTTGTTCTTTGAAACAAGCCAAGCTAACACAATAAGTTAAAATCCATTAAAACATGCTCTTGAATTAAAATGTTCATAAAGCATGAGTCAAAAAAGCAGGATACGAACTTGGTTCCTTTTTTCTGGTGGAAGAGTCAGGTCACCATCCTGGAACCAGAATAACATTCTGAATGAGAGCATCAGTACTTTAAGATGATAAGGTACATTTTTTTTGCATTTATCTACAGTATTTTAGTGCACACTGGTAGTAAATGTAGTCTATTCAAATGTGTACATCATTTCCATGTGAATAAAACACATTACAAAAGCAATGTATACACTGAACTCAGGAAATTCAATACATCATTTTTTTCAGGGCATAAATGTGAATGATGTGAATGAAGGGTTCATGAGACGCATTTTATTTTGTGCTCTTATTGTTTGAAATTTGTATACTAATGAATATGTTTTAGAAACATAGAACAGAATAGAATAGAATAGAATAGAAACACTCACTATGAGTTCTCTGTATTTCTTCTTCAGTCCCTGGTGGCGCTCTCTTAGCTGATTGGCCATCAGTTTGAACTGGTCACGCTCCTGCTGGCAGGTGTCCAGCTCTTTGGACAGGATCAGCAAGGCCTCCTTCTTACTCTCCAATTTTCGCTTACATACCAGGAACTGAACACAGGAAGGAAATACTCATGTTTCTTTTTTTTTTTTTCATTACAATTATCAGCAGGCCCCACCAGGATACTCCCAGCAGAACAAGAAAATGAGCAACAACTAACCAAACTTTCGCTGGAAGGGTTTTGCTACTTTATGTCCATTACATGAAACTAACTGATCCCAATACAATGTATGTCATGCATTCATTGGCTCTTACTTCAGTAGACAGGAACTATGGTGGGTGGTTTGAACATTCTGTACTTAAAAGATCAGTGTGGTAATACTACATGAAACAATACACATTCAGTGAATAAATAAAACAATCACTTTCCCAAAGCAGTGCAAGCAGTGGCAGTGTTGTTATTATTGATGTTTTAAGATAATCACCTAAGATAGTTTGTCAATTTACATTACATACCAAAAAACAAAGGTGCCAAAAATTGTTCTTTGGAGTGATGCCACACAAAAAAAATACTGCTTCATCAAAATTTCTTTTCAGTGAATTCGCAAAAGAGATGTGTGAGAACCATTTTATGAAAAATCTGTGCCAGTGTCAAGAACCTTCACATAAATGTTTCTCGTAGAGCCATCCAAGAACCATTAAGGAAACCATTATATGCACTCATTCAGAAACCAGTTAGAAACTCTATTGTTCACAAAAATGTAAGAAGAGGCTTGATGGTAAAGTTGAAGAGCAGGATAACTGTAATCAGTCACTCTTTACAGAACTAATTCTCTGAGTGTTTTCTTTTTCTTTGCTGAGTTGAACAGTTGCCCGTCCTGTGCGGTCTGATGCTGTTGCTTCATCTGCCGTGATCGGGTGCCCACTGCTCGCCACCCCTCTGGACTGGTTTGACCACCATGGAGCTTCTCGCTGTACAACACTGTGCAAACTTCACCTGCATTAACTGACCCTTTCTGATGATAATGCTGCTGCTGCTGCACAAACTCAGTCTATTTAATTATAACCATTGCTTCACCTGTTTTTACCCTTTTCTGTATTTTAATATTTTATACTAATGCTGTGTCGACCAGAGGAGGATGGGTTCCCCTTTTGAGTCTTGGTTCCTCTTAAGGTTTCTTCCTCTTGCTCTTAGGAAGTTTTTCCTTATCACTGTCACCATTGGCTTGCTCATAGGGTCTTGGACCTGGATTTTTCTGTAAAGCTGCTTTGTGGCAATACTTGTTGTAAATAGCACTATAAAAATAAACTTTGACTTGACTTCACTTGATAATCCTGATTAGTGGTCATCAACTCCTCTCCTAGAGATTCACGTTCCAACACTATTTAGTCTGATCTGCTCCACCTGATTCAACCAGTCTCCTCAGAAGACAATCAATTGGAACAGGTGTGACAGACCTGGGTTGGAACTGAACTTAACAGGTAGATGGCTAGATCCCCAGAATAAGGCTTGCTCACAATGATCTCGATGCTTCTCGTTCATGCACAATGCCCTGAAAAAAAGAGAGAATGACGCCTACTAATGGGATATCCCAAGATCTCCCCATCAGTCCCTCACGCGCAGCTGAGAAAGATTTATGTAATCCTCTTTATGAAATAAGACAACGTCGTGTTCTTCCACAAAATATGTGCAATAACAGTTTCCCCGCATGCGTGCCTTTACGATCTTTGATGTGATTCATCAGTCACCATTTTGAACATAGGCATAAGCAGCTAGTTTAGTTATTAAAGTTGTAGCTATAAGCTTTGCACACGTAGCGTAAAACAACAGTTTCATTTCTGTACTGATCATATCTACCGATCAGACTGAAAAAAAAAAAAAATCAGCATCTTCATGAAAGTCATTAAACAGTTAGCAAAAGCAGCCTGGTCGGGAGCTTAGCTGGCCATAACGTTCCTGTATAGCGTCACTCACCTCATTCACCAGGCCCTGCCAGTCGCTCTCGCTTCTCCTGGATGGATTCATGTTGGTGTCTCGATTAAATAAATCATTTACAAACAGAAAAGACTCGTAATGACAGAAGCACCTTCATCTACACTGTCGATGCAGGTGGCACATTTTTCAACACCAAAAGCGTTATGGATGTTTATTGCCACTCGTATTCCGCAAAGTCCCGCCCTCCTGGGTGGTAGGGTCGCTGCTCCTACGCTGAGATTGACATGGTGTGCCCCACCTCCTACAATTGGATTGGCTGATAGATAATACACTGTGTAGGGGATTGGCTAGAATCATTACAACTACTATGCAAGTGGCCAGCGGTGGGGGGGCTACTAGTCAGTCCTATGAAAGTGGAAGCAGTTTGACGTAATACGGGTGACGACATTTTCTTTTCGAAGGAAAGTTCATTAATATTTATTGAGTTCCGCACAGAACGCCGTCTGATTGGCTCCAAACACAACGTCGTCTTGGCCAGAGCCGTATAGAGAGAGAGTTGCGCCAACTCCATTCACTCCAATGGACCTACAGCAATGGCGGATCGTGGAGCCTCTCAATCGTTCCCGGAAGTTGGCAGCAAATACTAGCAGCGCGGCCGAGTTGCAGCAGAATAGACCGGTTGTGATGCACTTTAAAAGGGTAAGACATTTAAAGAATCAGCTTGTATATAATAAGCACACCTGAATTAAGTTAACATGTATATTAAAGTATGTCAGTGGATTATCCCCGATTACATTAGTAGATTTAAGAAACATTAACAGATAACAGATTAGGCTAGGGTACTGAGTAAAATTAGGAACCCATAATGTTAACCATAAACAGCCTAATAATTGTAAAATGCCTGCTCTTAATGCCGTTTCATCCACCGTTGTTGAATCTTAGAAAAGGCTTCTAAACATGATTTTTCACGGAGTGGGTGGGAGTTAAATATAACATTGGGGCACGAGCTTGTAGAGTGGAGGTGGAGGAGATAAAATGAGAATATCGTTATCCATTTTGGAGTACGAACTAATGTAAATTACACAGTAAAAAGAAAGAGCTATTTTCGTGATACGTCACTGCTGATGTGGATTTAGAGCGCATATTGGAGACTTTAAAGAGTAAACAAATACAAGACTTATGGATTGAGTGTTTGCAGGCTTTGTGATTCTGTTGACTGTTGTCTGTACATTATGGTGCAGTTTAGTTGATTTTGGATTAATGGCAAGAACCACGGGGGGATTCAACTCAGCCTAGAGTCTCCCTACAATAAGACAGTACCCCCACCCTGCACACTGAGTCTCAACTCCCTGGGCTTGCGGTTCTTTACCTGTTCCTTATTTTTAATAAACAAAACATTAAGCTTCCCAGTGGTGTGGCTTTTGTTTGTGAAATGTATGCAATGTCACGTTGTTGTTGTTGTAATCTTTTGTGATGGTAAGTAATTTAGTAATTGCTCCTGCTGACTTGAGCCAGCAGTTTTTTCTTCTCTCTGTGTCAATGGAGAAACCAAACATTTTCACTCCTTTCTCCAAGCGATTGAAGCATCTCCATGCCGCAGAGCAAACCATGCTGGGGACTATATGCAAGGACAACATGGAGAAAAGGGCACAGACAAACTGCCTGCCAGGCTATTCATGTTTGAGTTCATTATAGCTGTATTTAATGAATCCATCGCAGTAAATATGTGCATAGTAAAAAGACAAGATATATAAAATATGTTTATATGTGTACAAATATAAATAGATGTGTTTTATGTCCTGTCTGGATGTGATGTATTTTAATGTACGCATTTTAATACAGATTTTTTCATATGCAAGCCAAACAAATTTCTTTCATATAGTTTACAGTAGTCTTCAAGTCATTAAAATGATCTAGGCCTTGGGATTACTGAAACAACTATTAATTAAAAGATGTATTTATGTTAATTATATTTATTTATGTTGAAAATTAATCTGATCACAATTTTGAAACATTCCTTCCCTTCCCCTCCCTCTAAGTATATCAATAAACATTAGGATATGACTGATCTTAACTACCATACAAGTTTAAGAACATAATATCTATAATCCTGAAAAGTCAAAGCAATGAAACAACCAAAACACACTTTGAAACCATATTCACATTAACGTAACATGTCAAAAAGGCAGGTAACGATAGCTGTTTAATCCTCAAATAGTAGCGAATTTGACTTTTTAATATATCATATTGTTGTAACTACACACACACACACTTTGGTTTTCTATATGAATATTGTAAATCAGTGCATTTATTGACTTTAAAGTACCAAAAGACGCAGTTCTGTCGCTCGGTGTTTATGGGTTTAAATTGCCCGCAAAGAGCTTCCTGGAACTATCTGAAGTCTACGTGAATCACGAGACCATCAAACATTTTGAACTTCCGTTGACGCTACTCTCTCTATACGGCTCTGGTCTTGGCCTAGTGGCTCTGCTGTATGGCAAGCGAAGAGGATCAGAATTCACCTTAAACCAAACGCGTTTTACATATATATGTAAAATACGGCGTTTTAGACGTTTTTACGATGTAAAATACGCCACAAAAACATCAAAACCGCATTTTTCGGAATTTAAATTTTAGCTTAAAACGGCGTTCTTTACAGCTTTAAATGCAACAAAACGCAGTAAATTACGCCGCTTTTATGTCGCCTTGACGGCATTAATAAAAGCGCCGTTTTATATTAAGGTAACGAGCTCCACCTGCTGGTTATGACAGCCAATACATGTGAATTTTCTTTGTCCAGTCACGGATGAGAAAGGTCGGACCACGCCAATTCACAACAGATCTCATAGACTATAAATCACCCAAAAGAGAGAGTCCATGTCTGCAGCCAGATGCTTCTCGAGAAATCAGTCGTCACATTAATTTATTTTTGGGATTCATCAATTTGTATTAATTTGTTGGATAATTTTTTTTATCTTTCATTAATGTAATAACGTGCCCTATTTATTTTAAATGTAATAATAACATACCATATATAATAATATAGAATAATCTCTCCACTGGTGCAGAGCTGTTGCGGCTCCACAGCAGAACTAGATTTTTTAGGTAAAATAACATAATCCTCCTTTGCTGTAAAATCGTTATAACACACAGTTCTAACAGTTTTCACAATAAATGGTCTTAAACGCTGGAGTTAATGTATAACTGCTATTTCACCACCCTTTAACACTGAAGACTAACATGCAGACTGCTGGTCACACAGCAATGTAGATAACGAAAAGGCAAAGAGAAAGATTTAAGATGAACATCGAAAATTTGGAGATGAATGGACTTAATTGCATTTATAAGCGCTCAGCTGGTTTTCTCATACATTTAATCTGCAACAACTCGCAAAGCTGAAGTCGCTTCTTATTTTCCTGCTTCTCATTCGAATTCTCCGGTTCCACCTTAAATGGCGCAGCAGCACAATCTGGCGCCTCAGGCACCATTTAAGGTGGAACAGGACAATTCGAACGAGAAGCAGGAGAATGAGAAGCGACTTTAGCCTCATAAAAAGTCAAACATTGAGAGACATTTTACAAGAAACTCGCAGAGAAGTTTCCTGAGATGTGAGAAAAGCTGCTACAGCTGAGCTAAAGCTTAAAGCAGAGAAAAGCAAGTGTGAGTTTTCGTTTATTTTAATTTTTAGCCCACACTAGGACATCAGCACACACTGAGACATACTTACAGCCAAGATGGTAAAACGGATATAAAATGTTGTGTCCCCCAAGGTGGTTTCATTTTTGTTACAATGACAAAATGGCTCTTCTTAACATTTGGGTTGCGACCCTTGAGTCAAGCCTATTAGTAAGGGGTGATCAGCGCACGGGGCGAGTGCATGCCCGTTTGCTTGAACTGTCTGTGGCTTAGTCATTACTGCACAGTCGCCACCAGCCCAGTTAACAACCGCGTTCTATGGTCCAGATTTTGCACGGATTGTCTGAAGTTTGTAGCGAAATTGTACATTTCATAAAACTGTAGCAGCTACAGCTATTAGCTACAAAAATTTGTAGTTAACTACAAAAAGTAGCGCGCTACTTAGCTACTCCCCCATCCCTGTGGGTGTGTATATATATATAAATAAAGTGTGCTGTTTACATGACCATTTGAGTAATAATATAACTGCAAAAATCCGATTAAGATCAGTTTAAGTGCATGTAAACACACTGTAAAAGCTAGAACTAGATTTAACTGGTCAACCAGCGTGATGACCAGCTTACCAGCTGGAGCTGCCCTGAATTGGTCAACCAGTTTAGTAACCAGCTTACTAGCTAGGGCTGGATATGACTGGTCAACCAGCTCAGCAACCAGCTTGCCAACTGGTAGATGGTCAAACTGGTCAACCAGGTCTCAAAACATAGCTTGAACTGGTAAGCTGGTCACCAGCTTGTGCTGGTCAAGCTGGATTTTCCAGTAGGGAAAGCATGTTGATTTAGCTAGCAACTTTGTGAATGCTCCAAAGAAAATAATGAACAATGAATTTTGCATGTTACAGACATAATATGTAAATTACACACAAAAAGTATTACATTTTTACCATAGCAATTTTATGTTAGCCAATAGCAGGGGTGCTCAATACGCGATCTACCCAGTAGTAGTTGGTAGATCGCGCCTCATTCAAACAGGCTATCAAATTTAAGCACTTTCTTTATGCTTCTGGCGGCGGGCGGGTCAAAGTGATTGACTGAGCTGAAATGTCTCTTTAAATTACTGCTTGTTACCATAGCTACACCTCAGCTTGCCTAAAGCTGTGAGTTTGCCTCTAGCAATCCAGAAAGTTTTCATTTATCGATGTTCAGTTTGTGTAGTGCCATTTTTGCGTTTTCTTTTTATAACCTACACTGACTCTTTAAGACACTGAGTGCGATACTGAGCACAAAGAAACCGAAAACTTACCTCTTCCATGCAGAGCAAGAAGAGGGCTATATTTTCACAATGTCAAACTCCACATGCATCTGCTTGATTTGCCACGTAGCCATCGCATTGGTGCAAATAATCAGAATAATGTTAGAGTGATTTTTTAGCCATTTGTCCTGTAATGCTGAATATCAATATAGGCTACTGAAGTGCATAACCAAAGTTTAAAAGCTTTTTTAAAAGGATGATGCTTTTTTTAAAGTTAGATCACAATGACCTGTCCACTGGAAAAAGCAGATCTCTAGCCACAAAAGTATGGGCACCCCTGGCGTATAGCATGTGTGCTGCATACATGAACAGCTCAAGAGCTACGTTCACATTACAAGCCTCATTGCTCAAATCCGATTTTTTGCTCAAATCCAATCTCTCTGACACGATGGTTAGGTAAGTGACTCAAATCTGTCATTAATGTAAACGAACCGGCGTCCTGAAATGACCCGCATGCGCACATCATACTCAGTAATGTCACGTGCATCATCAGCAAACAGACTAACGGTCAGAACGAGCCTTCGCAGACTCTCTGAACAGCTCTCAGCTGTTCATTATTAGAGCGAGACGAAGGCGAAAAAGGTGAGCTGTGTTGCTCTTCCACCGTTTACAGGCTTTAACTTTTGTTCGGCGCTGCTGCCATGGTAACGCTGCATGATGGCGCACGCGCAGTGGAAAAAAGGCACATGAATTCCGATCTGAGCATTCACATTAAGGTCGCATGGCCACGAATCAGATACGCATCTGATCTAGGACCACATATGAAAGTGACTCAGGTCGAATCAGATTTGCATGTCCACACAGCCCTGAAAACATCAGATCTGAGTCACATTAGGGCAAAAAATCGGATTTGTGCTACTTCAGCCTGGTAATGTGAACGTAGCCAAGTCAAAGTCACTCTGGTACTCAGGGCAGTAGTTTCAGAGAGCGAGCAGTCAAGTCTATGGCCGAGCCACAACTGTTCTAAAGTCAGCAGAGAACCTTCACCACTCACTGTGTAGTTTCATCGTTTTTTCCACATTGAATGTCATAAAAACTTTAGAAACCTCAGAGGACATTGGTGTCCTAATGCTAGTCACGGACATAACTGAAGCAATTGCTAAGCAGTGATTGAAGTGTTTAGAAAATAACATGAAGCTTGGCAGATTTTAATTGACCATAATACAGTGACAGCGCTCACAAAAACAAATCAAATTTCATTATCCTAAAAACGCGACATGATATCTGTCTCCATTTAATTGGGTAAGCCTGTGATACTGTGGCTGAATCCCTGAGTAGACTGTATTATCATAATTGCGCTGTTTCTACGTTTGATTTCATGAATGGAGGAAAATAAAACACGCTTGTAAAACTACCGAGGTCCGGACCTCGTGTCCTCATAAGTAGTTACCACCATGGCTCTGGGGACCCCCTGTCTGGCAAAATTTCAAGAATTGCCTGCCGGAGTCCGAGAAATACTGATCTAGGATCTGTTTCTGTCTGTATGGTTTTAGTAAATAAGAGAACTGATTCCAAGTCAGCAGTCCTACTCTAAAAAGCTTTGTGAACACAGGCCTAGATCCAGATCATGAACAGACTATGAAGCCAGTCATGACTGCTGAGTTTTTGAAACCATCCCAGATAGCATGAAGACTCGGCCCGAGCTCGGCTGATCTGTGGCAGCATCGGCTGAGACTCGTCATCGGGCAGCTTGAATTGGGCCGAGTGTGGTTGACGCTCAGCAACCGAAGAGCTCGTAGGCTCGGGCCAGTTGCGGGTTACATTCGGCAGTTGGCAATAGGAGCTTGGGCCGATTCCCATATCTGCTGATACGGCCCAATTGAGTATTTATAGGATTGGGCCGAGTGCACGTTACACTCGGTGTCTGGAGAGTCGGCAAAAGGAGCTTGGGCCGATTACCATATGTGCTGATACGGCCCAATTGAATATGTATAGGTTCGGGCGGAGTGCACGTTACAATCGGCGTCTGGAGAGTCGGCAAAATGAGCTCGGGCCTATTCCCATACGTGCTCATCTGGCCCAAACATGCACTATAGGTTCGCCGATTATGGATTAATCTCAAATGGCTTCCTGGTGCCTGCATAGTGCACTATGTAGGTCTTGAAATAACGGCTCCTGAAACCAAACAGTGCATAATATGTCTTGAAAGGGCCAGTTGGGATTCAGGCAGGTGTGCACATTTCCCTACTGGACATATAGTGCACTACTTAGTTGAAGAAGTCAAAATTGCTTAACTGATACAGTGCAATATACAGGGAGTAAGGAGCCATTTGAGATTCAGCCTGTCTGCAATCGCAGTAATAAGTCCTCACCAAATTATTAAGAAACAATTACTGCAATGTTGTATTTTATTCTAATAAAATTTGAAGAAAACAATAAGGATTTCTGTTTGAAAAAGGTTATTTAATCACTGCTTATACAAAAAATAGCACTGATGATGTGTCATTGGCGTGAAAACGCAGATAAGACCCCACCTTCATTGGAATTCCCCCTTTCAGCAGAGGCTGCTTCATAATTTTCAGTAAGTTTAATTATGGTTATGTCATAAGTTAATGACTTTAGATTACTGTGAACAGTTTCTAATAGGGATCTAATATTAGCAAAAATTAATTAAAAGCTTCGTATTAAAAGGTTAACTTAGTAAGTCCTTTGAATAGCATATAACTTAGTTGTGTTAGCTAACGCTAGTTGGCATTATCCACACATATTGCAGCACGATTTCTGTAAATACCTAGTTTTAAAGGTTTCTAATTTATTTATAAGGGTTATCACATCGAGATTCGCTAGCCATCGTTACCATAATGGCATAAAAATGCAGAAATCCTTTTTTTATATTTCCAGGCATTTTACAGTGAAGTTAATGTTAGCTAGCTAGGTACCTAGCTACTTAAGCTAGCTAAAAGCAACAGTTATACCTTACGATACGATATAGTTCATTAGCTAGCTACTTAAGCCTTCCTTCTATTAAATATTTGTTAATGTTCATTAATATTTTGTTATTGACAGGTTAATTCCTTTAACACAAATTGTATAGCTAATTAGCTGTTAGCTGTTCCTAGTCAGCTAGAAAATGATAAGACTAATAACTCCACGCATCACAGGGCAAGTCACTTTAATTGTCTTGGGTAACAAAAAAAACTACTTAATCTAGTGGTTTGTAAAATGTTGAAAAAGAACTGCTAGACATTTGAATACTTTCTGTGTTCACAGATGATGAACTAGCCTGAAAACGCAGTGGGGTAAGGTGAGCCATGTATTGTGTGTGTGTGTGTGTGTATTATTTATCTATAGGGCAATAGGACTATGCGTAAAAGACAATCATCGCCATGTTGGAAATATAACCGACAGAACTAGAGGGGACTAGCTGACTGGTAATTCTCTCTGCTACGTTCTGTAATGCTAGCTTTACATACCACATATCTCTTCCCTGTTTATTTTACTTTACCTTAAGTTTAGCTTGAGTGCATGAACCGAAAATAAATGCCGACATGCTTTAGAACTTATACTTGCTTCAGTGTGACTTGATGCAGTAAAAGAGCAGGCGAAAGTGACTGGCCATTACCCTAAAGAAGCTAGCACCAGCCCAGGAGAGAAAGATCCTCTTATCTTCGTTTTCACCCGGGAAACAGGTTCAAAAAAAGGTAACAAGTAATATTAAATAATATATACACATAATGTTTTATTCACTGTTACTGTTGAAACATTAAGTTATAGAGCTGAGAACAGTCTGGTTCTGGAAACAAAAATCCCATTCATAATCACCATAGGGAATTAGATTTTTATCAAGCCAATGTAGACTTGTGAGCTACGAGATTGTGAGATGATGGTATGCTCCAATTAAAGCCACAAATCAGTCCGGTTTCAGCTTCTTTTCCGAAAAATTGCGTTTTATTCCCTTATTTCTCGTAAACAAATACATCCCACTTAGCAAAATTTATCTGGCCCACTTGTGGGCCACATCCTTGGTTGAGTTCTGGCCAAATTCTGGCTGGGTCCCCAGCCCAGATCTGGCCCATATACTGTAAAACGAGAAGAACTAATGGATGCAGCCCAGATGAGTCCCACACGCTATAAAATTAGTATAACTAATGGATGTGGCCCAGCTCTGGCCCATATACTGTAAAGTGAGTAGAACTAACAGATGTGGCCCAGATCTGGACCACATACTGTAAAGTAAGTAGAACCAAGGGATCTGGCCCAGCTCTGGCCCATGTACTGTAATGTGTGCAAGTTTAATGGCTGTGGTCCAGACCTGGCCCACACACTGTAAATTGACCATATTTAAAAGGTGTGGGCCAGATCTGGCTCATATATGGCACACAGTTATGGCTGACTACCTACCTTTGTCCCCAGCCCAGAAGTGGCCCTGCAGGATGCCACACTCATTTATTGCAGAACATGCAAAATATTATTAATATTTCTTTCTAATAATTGATAAGTGTTGACAAAAGCCATTTCAGAAAGAAAACTCCATGTTGATTTTGGTTAAATAAATAAAAACAGAAAGCTTCACCTTTGTGACAGGTCATTATCTGCAGTCTTTGTGTGTACATCTTCAAGGACATATACTGCTGGTCGTTCCGCAGACCATCTGCCTTTTGTCAAAGAATATAATATTTTCCACATTCATAAATACATTTCTCACAATATTTCTGCATTAATTTTAAACAGTGGTGGATGAAAAATTCTTGAGCCAAGTGGAGAGGCCACTGAAACAGAGGCTAAATCTTATATCTTCCTTGGAGCACTGTTTCAGTGGGTTTAGAATGTAATTTCTCAGACATTTTATTTTAGATCAACGATGACAAAAATGTCTGAAAAATTATACTTTATAATGTCTGTGGGATGAAAACAGCTGTGTATGTCCCTAAAACATAGGTGTCAACCCATTCAGTATGTCTTTATAAAATACATACATTCCTGAGATCAAGCCAACTGTGTATGTCTCACTGTTTTGCAATTTAACTTGATCAACAGCTACTTTTTCTGATTCTGTATGCAATAATTACTAAAGTTTTTTTTAGTACATAAATACAAAACTGGATAATCTGCTGTATCACTAATGATTTTAAATGCATGATTTTATTCTATATTATGTTAAACATGGGATTCATTCTGGGATTTGCATTGGATCCCAGTTCAGTAAGAGGTCGGTTTAGAAATTGGCTCCATCATGAGCTTACGTGTGTATATTATGATCATTTTGCTTCGTTTTGCATACATTAATTTTTACCAGTGCAGAATCCCTTAAACAAAACAAAAAGCAAAAACATTTAGAATGTATTCAGACTGTTTATTGTGTATCACAATTATAAACATTTTCAAAGTAGAAAAAATACTGATGCACAGAAGCAAACACACAAAGGCTAGTGAATACACAAGATAAAACAAGCAATGTATGATTTTTGTTAATTACATAACCTGTAGTAACATAATAAATAATCTAAGTTTGAAGTGATTTGTTGTTCAAAAATGTATTTAAAATACTACATAATGACAGTTATTCAGTGACCTTAATAATAATAATAATAATAATAATAGTATAATAAATTATAATAAAAGTATAATAAAGTATAATAAAAATATAATAAAGTATAATAAAAATACTTGTTCTAATGTAAAAACTTCCTAAAATTCTACATCGGTTAAAACCTGTCCACTTCCTGATGCCTGAGGAAAGAGGAAAAGCATTCAGCTATCATTTACTTCTTTAACTGACTTCCAGATAACAGTTTTTTGTGTTACACTGTACAACAAATCCCTTTACCTGACAATCTGGAGCAACACCACAATCAGCATTTCCAACAGTCTGCTCTGCAGACTGAATGAGCTCTGTCACTTTAGCTTGGGTTAAAGCTCCAAGCTAACCCGCTAACCGCGAGCTAATGATAGTTAACTACTCTGAACATTTAGCTAAAAGGAATAAGTTAACATTATTCACAACGAATTAGCAACGAAGGATGATGTAACTAAACCTTGAACTGATTGACCATTTCCTTAATCTAGCTAGCCTGTGCTTTTCAAGTGTTACCTATAGTTATAACTTTTCATTTTCCATACTGGAACAATAATTCAAAATAGTTCTCGCTGAACTAAACTTACACATTATAAATCATGTTAATGTATGTACATGTGATTTTTTTTTTAAGTATATTACTTACCCTCTTGTTCTTTGTCTTCTTGAAGAGAATTTGTCTTCTCTTCAGCTGCTGGCTTGTCCATTTGAAAATGATGAACTTGGGCGGGAAAATTTGTTAAATGAGGGTTTTAACCCTTACAGCGAGTGTCAGCTGTTTTCTTTAACTTCAGTAATGGGCCACTTATGACATGCCAGACTTGGGCCAAAAGCACTGAGACGCAAATCAACGAGCATTGCTCTGTCACAGCATTAAGGTGCGGCCCTCTTCCTTTATCCACACTGTTGGGCCACAACATTTATGCCAGAATTGGCCCTTAAAATTAGATATGAGTTAAAACCATACACAGCTGTTCAGCATCTGGCCCAATTCTTGCCTGCATGCCTAATATCCACCCTGAAGTCAAACAACACTTGCGTATATAAGCCAGAATCTGCCCAGAATGGTCTGCTATTGCAGTGGACCACTTATGACATGCCAGACTTGGGCCAAAAGTACTGAGGTGTAAATCAACCGAGCACGAATCTGCCACAACTTAATTGTGCTGTGGCCCTTTTCCATCAACCACATTGTTGGGCCACAACACACATACCAGAATTGGCCCTTAAACGTAAATATGAGTCAAAACCTTACACAGCTGTCCAGCATCTGGCCCAGTTGTGGCCCACATGCCTTATATCTATCCGGAACTCAACCAACACTCACGGATATAAGCCAGAATCGGCCCAGAACTGTCTGCTATCTGGAATTACCCATACGTCCTAAAGAGAGCTCCACCAATCAGAGACATCGCTGTTACCATGGCGATTTAAACAGCGTGGTTTAGCGCCAGAAAAGCAGGAAGCACAGCGGCGTCTGTCAGCGATCAGCAGCAGCGCGGTTTGACTGTCGGATATGATGAGTTTTTTAGGGATACAGAGGAGAAGAGAGCTCAGACTGAAAATCAGAGTCCGGCTGTGTAGTGGAGTGTAGTTTGTGTGAGGGGGCAGGTGGTCGGTTCTGTCAGAGTTAGGAAGACAGCGCATACAGGGCTGTGGAGGGACAAACATTATGAACTCCACACAGATCAACAAAAATCCCCTTTACTCCACACATTAACGCAACATCAAACTTTCTCCACCCTTCAGGCTCCCTTTCAGTGATTATATTACCCTGGTCCTGGAGCCTCCCCTGCTCCCTTCATGTTTTCCCTACTCTCTACACTCCTAATCCTAACTAGTCATTTCATTAACAAAACTTTGCTTTGTTGAAGTGGGTGAGTTAGAGCAGGGAAAACATTCAAATGTGCAGAGCAGTGGTTCTCCAGGGGATTGTTGAATATCACAGCATATGGTATTTTGCCCGGATGTGAGCCAAACACGTGGGCCGATCTAATAAATACTGGTATGCGGCATTTGGGCCAGAATGGGGCCTAGATTCAAACTGAGCCTGGGCCGATGAGATTCATGCTTGGTATGCGGCATTTGGGCCAGAAGTGGCCCGACTGATTTTTTGCTATCTGGGATGCAAGGATTAGTCTCAAGGAGTTAAGAACCACTGATCTCACCACCTTCAAACTAGAAATGACTTGTTAATTAGCAGATTGGTTGAACAAATGTGTCTGAGGACGTCAAAATATGTAGGGCAGGGGTACTGACATACTGACAGCTAATTACTGACATAACTGAACACTGCCATGTTCGGACATTTATTCAGCACCCATAAGAGGGTATAATTAGCATTATGTTGCTGAATGGTTGTGAGGAAACACTTGAAAATTCCAAATGTTTTGTTAGTGTGAAATATAGGCCTGTTACAAATGTTATATCACCTAATCACTATTATTTAGGCTGTCTGCACTTGGTTTTTACTTAAGTTTTTTAAGTCGACAACAGTTGTTAATACTGTTATTAGTTTTCACAATCATATGTTGCAACAAATAGAAAGTGAATTGGGTGTGTTTGCATCCATTGGATTGAGGCAAATAGTAAATAAATTTAAGCTGAAAATGCTGTAAATTGTTGAAACACCTCATGTCTTCACAAAAACAAAAGTTCTGAGTTCTGATTGGTGCTGAAATACGGCAGCGGTCAGTTTGTTTGTTTATTTGAGCTTCAGCTGTGTCTGTTTTCAACTGGGACCTACTAAGTATTGACAGCTTAGAAGTAAGATTGCTAATACGCAATAGCCACCTCCTTTAATAACTGAACACAATTTAAAAAAAGTTAATTACAATGATTTAGATGCCAGTTAATGATCAGCTAAAACTGAATTATTTGTTCAGACCTAGTAAAAGAATCTACAAAATGCTCTCTCCCCATTTACTCTTGTTCATTTGTCAGTTTATTTTCTATATTATAGAAAACATTACAATCTGTGTTTGTTGAAGAATGTTGGGTTGGTGTGCCCTCATTTTTGTTTTTCTGTCTCTCTCCCATTCTGTGAGCTGTCCTGCCCATGCTGTCCACTTGTTTTGTTGACCAGGCTAGTCCTTACCACCATGGTGTCACCTGCATGAACCACTGATGCTCCTGCTGTGTTTAAAAACAAAGGCTTCACCTGCATGCTCACTCACTCAACCTTCTAAGGAGCTGGATGGCATGGAGACTTTATTAGTCAATCGTCATCTGCTTTATTCTGTCTGGTTTGGTGACTGATTTATCCTCAGTATACTCTGACTAAAACAGTTTCATCCTCGGAAATAACAATCATGGACTTAATCATCATTCTCACTCTTTGTAGATGACCTTTGTAATGCCCTCACATTACTCACTGGTCTCCCGATTAATTTTAATACTCCTATTTAATGGTTAAGCGTGCCTTGTCAGCCTTTGCTAATTTATTACAAATTACTGTATGTTCAAGCCTTTCCTTAAATTAGCTCGGAATTCAGATTGTTTTTTCCCTTCTGCTCTCATGGTTTATTCCTCATAAACCAAGAGACATTTTAATTTTAGTCATATTAGTTAATATGCCATCTTGTGGTTGATCAGAACAATTATCCAGGTTCCAGTTCCAGTCCATGATTACATGGTTTATCTTTTCAGTGCCATCTTGAGGTAGAATGATCGATAACCTTACAAACGTTTACGTTTGTACCACCTTATTAATGCGCAGTTACCACAGTAATGTTCCAGCAAGAAGCCTCAGTGAAACCAACAACATTTGGAATCTGAACTTTATAGTTGGGGGCACATATCTACTACATGAGTGAAGATGGCGCTGCCAGCAGCAGCCTCAGCACAGCATTCTCTAGTACTTTCTTTGTTATTTGTTTATTTTGGTTTTGCATCTGAATTTACGTGACCAAATCGTAAGGCAAATTGTACGCTCTTTGTATTTTTTATAAAAATGGGAAGACAGTTCAGTTCAGCTTCTTTTATTATAAGGGTTTAAAATTACATTACCCATCTATTTGACTGGAAAGAAGACAGTTACAGTTCTCATATGACACCCACAATTTGAATGTAGCTTATGAAATATGAAAGTTATGAAGAATATGACGAAGTGCGTTTTGGAACAACCAGTGGTCCCAAGGAAAAGATTAATGTGTGTTTGGTTACTCAAACCCAATTAGTTACACCAGGGATGAACTGCTTAACATAAGACAGTTCACTCACTTTTTCTCGGGTTTTCATGAACCCAGGAAGTTTTTTGGTCATCCCTGTAAAACACAGTTACATAATGACAACGTCATTGTGACAACCTACTGTTGTGGTGTCCACAATGTTGTCTGCTAGGTGCTCTCCTTGTTGTCATAACATTGATATGTAATTCCTCAGAAAGTTCTGACAATGTTATCTGACAATATTGTAGGAGGTTGTGACAACAATGATGAGACAGCAAAAGTAATCTGTGCTATGTTGTCTGTACGTTGTCACAATCTCCTAGGATCCTTAATAATTTTAATCAGTATTACAGTTTTTGATAATATAAATGTAGTTCAGTGGTGCACAGAAATAGATCTGTGTGTTATTAGGTGATTCAGTTTATGGCATACACCTAACCCCCAGGCCCCGATGACAGCCGCGAGGGCGGGGACTGAACTCCGAGTGTGGACGAAGCCCGGCCGGGATGGTGGGGAGAGAACCGTGAGTGAGAGCGTGAAGCCCAAAAACTGCTGAGGGACGCGAATGACGGCGGGAGGAGGACATCAGCCGCCAGAGAGGGGGCGACGATGATGACAGCCACGAGAGGCACAAAGGCGGGATGCGAATCCTGAACTCCGCTGCCTGGGCCCCGTCCCCTGTTCCGCAGCGAGGCTGCTTCACTCCATCCCTGCCACACACACAATAATGTCATCCTTCTCGATCCAGGCGGCTGAACTGCCAGATGGCGCGGTGACGGGGAGGCGGAGCATTGAGCTCTCTTCCTTCTCCGCTCAGGTGCTCAAGCTGCTCTTAATGAGAACCAGCTGATACTGATCTGGCTGCAGCATGAGCGCCTTTTAAAAAAAAAGAGCAGAGAGGGAACAGAGAGAGGGAGAGGGAACTAGAGCTTGCCTTTCTGCGCTCACTCAAAAAAATCATTTATGGCCATTATAAACATTAAGCAAATATTTTACATAAAACTTATTTAAAAAACAGAAAATATACTTTACTTATTGATATTCATTAGAAGCAGCCCAATTTGGATAAATCCAAAACTGATTTAATTGAATTCTATAAGACCTATTAGATTTTTCCACTAAATCTTATTAGGAGGCAGTGTGCACGTGCAATAGTAACAGGAAACGCATCATCAATTAGGAAATTGCTTCAGCTGGCATGGTGGACATGCAATGGCCTTTTTATTTTTTATTTTTACAATCTCTTGCCATCCTTTGATATACAGTGCAACTGCAATGAAACAGTGATGCACTTTAACTTAGTTTGTGTTTTAATGTTTTTGACCATATATTAATGTTTCATTTTGCTTATTTTGAGAGATACTCTAGACAACAGATGAATCAGATGTACAGTGAGTTTTACAGTGTGGCTGCTTGGCTGCTATTAAATGTGTATTTCATGCTTTTGTTTGTTGTTTTCATGTTGGTGGAATTCATATGTTTGGTTCTGTCCTGTAAGATTTTTTTTTTTATTCTCATTGTTAACATGCACTGTAAAAAAGGTCATAATTTTACAGAAAATAACTCTAAATTTTTACAGTAATTTTCAGTTTTTTTTTAAATTGTATACAAAAATTATGGACAATATCTGTAAATTAACAGACCAAATATTATTTTAAGAATTATGCCAATAATGACAAATTACATTTATTTCTTATTTTTTACAGAGAAATTACTGTATTATTTATACAGTATTTTTCTGCTTTTTAAAATTACATGCAAATTTCTGTATAAATACACAAATGATCTGTAATTAAATATGTAGCACATTATATAAAGATTTATGTCCATACTAACAATTTGATGTTTTTTCTTTGTACTTTTAAGGTAAACATAATCTTATTGTTGTATAATGCATAGTCTTTTTTAAAGAGTACAAAGCTACACTGCTCTCAAAGTTGCAACTTTCATGCATGTTTGGGGCTCTGGCCACACCCAGTCAGTGATGTCACCATGAGTTTAAGCACATATATGCCAATGAATCTGACAAAAGTAAAATGAGTAAAAGGCAAAGTCTGGAAAACAAGGCATTGCAATAGTCCAGGCAGGAAGTAGTAGAAGCAAGAATGATGAGCTTTAAGCCCTTTAGAGCAGCGACAGCCTTAAAAGTTTCAACCTCAAGAGAGCAGTGAAGCAGAAACTTTTTGCCATATGTGATTTAATGTGTCCTGGCCGTGGAACAATGGACCAGCTTTTCACCCTCTCACGGATTGTTGAGGGGGCATGGGAGTTTGCCAACCCAGTCTACATGTGTTTTGTGGATTTGGAGAAGGCTTACGACCGTGTTCCCCGAGATATCTTGTGGGAGGTCCTCCGGGAGTGTGGGGTGCCGGGGTTACTACTCCGGGCCATTCAATCTCTGTAGGCCCGGAGTGAGAGCTGTGTTCGTATACTCAGCATTAAGTCGGACTCTTTCAGTGTTAGCGTTGGACTCCGCCAGGGTTGTGCCCTGTCTCCACTCCTGTTTGTGATATTCATGGACAGGGTGTCAAGGCGTAGCCGGGGTCAGGAGGGCATTATGTGTGGAGGCCAGAGGGTGGCGTCTTTGCTATTTGCAGATGATGTTCTTTTGGCTGGATCACATGGATGCCTCCAGCGCGCACTGGAGCGGTTTGCAGCTGAGTGTGAAGCAGTTGGTATGCGGATCAGCACTTCCAAGTCTGAGTCCATGGTCTTAGCCCGGAAAAGGAAGATATGCCCACTCCAGGTAAGGGGAAAGGACTTGCCCCAGGTGGAGGAGTTTAAGTATCTCGTGGTCTTGTTCACGAGTGATGGGAAGAAGGATCGTGAGATCGACCGCAGGCTGGGACAAGCGGCAGCAGTAATGCAGTGGTGAAGAGTCTCTGTTTACCAATCGGTCTACATCCCGACCCTCGCCTATGGTCATGAGCTGTGGGTAATGACCGAAAGAATGAGATCGCGAATACAAGCGGCGGAAATGAGCTTTCTTCGCAGGGTGGCGGGCTACACTCTATTTGATAGGGTGAGGAGCTCAGCCATCCGGGAGGAGCTCGGAGTAGAGCCGCTACTCCTCCACGTTGAGAGGAGGCAGCTGAGGTGGTTTGGGCATCCGATCCGGATGCCCCCTGGATGCCTCCTGGTGGGGGTGTACCAGGCACGGCCTACCGGAATAAGACCCCGGGGTCGTCCTAGGACCCGCTGGAGGGATTATATCTCCAAGTTGGCCTGGGAGCGGCTTGGGGTCCCCGGGAATGAGCTGGAGGAAGTTGCGGGGGACAGGGTTATCTGGGATTCTCTGCTCTCCCAACTGCTACCGCGACCCTATCTGGACTAAGCGGTTAACGATGATGATGATGATGATGATGATGATTTAATGTGAACTTATTATCAGTTCCTCCTTGTTGATGAGTAAAACGTGATTACCAGTGAGCACATTGCTGAAAAAACAATGAACACTGCACAACAAAAGGCTAAGAGTGGGTTAATATTCATCATCATCATCGTTAACCGCTTAGTCCAGATAGGGTCGCGGTAGCAGTTGGGAGAGCAGAGAATCCCAGGTGACCCTGTCCCCCCTCCCATGCCTCCTCAACAATCCGTGAGAGGGTGAAAAGCTGGTCCATTGTTCCACGGCCGGGACGGAATCCGCATTGTTCCTCCTCAATCTGAGGTTCAACTATCGGCCGAAGTCTCCTTTCCAGCACCTTGGCATAGACTTTCCCAGGGAGGCTGAGCAGTGTGATACCCCGATAGTTGGCACACACCCTCCGGTCCCCTTTCTTGAAAATAGGGACCACCACCCCGGTCTGCCAGTCCAAGGGTACTGTTCCCGAGGTCCATGCACTATTGCAGAGGCGTGTCAGCCACGACAGCCCCACAATATCCAGAGCCTTAAGCATCTCCGGACGAATCTCATCCACCCCCGGTGCCTTGCCACTGAAGAGCTTGCCAACTACCTCAGTGACCTCCACCAGGGAAATGGAGCTTGACACGCCAGAGGCCTCTGGCCCTGACTCCCGTGAGGGAGGCATGTCACCCGGATTAAGGAGTTCCTCAAAGTGCTCTTTCCACCGACCGACAATATCCTCATTTGAAGTCAGAGTTTCTCCACCCCTGCTGAATACAGCCTGGGCGCAGTCACCCCGACCACTCCTGAGTCACCGGACAGTTGTCCAGAACCTCCTCGAGGCCGACCGAAAGTCTTTTTCCATGGCCTCACCAAACTCCTCCCACGCCCTGGATTTTGCTTCTGCCACCTTTTTTGCTGTCGGTACCTATCTGCTGAGTCGGGAGTCCTCCGGGCCATCCAGTCCCTAAAGGCCTCTTTCTTCAGCTTGACGGCCTCCCTCACCACCGGTGTCCACCAGGTGGTTCTTGGGTTACCGCCCTGACAGGCACCCACAAGCTTTTGGCCACAGCCATGCCTGGCAGCTTCCACAATGGAGGTTTTGAACAGGGTCCATTCAGACTCCATGTCTCCTACCTCCTGCCGGACATGAGAGAGCTCTCCCGGAGGTGGGAGTTTAAATCATTCCGAACAGGGGCCTCCGGCAGTCATTCCCAGCACACCCTCGCTATTCGCTTGGGCCTACCGGGTCTGACCATTAGTCTTCCCTGCCATCTGATCCAACTCACCACCAGGTGGTGATCAGTCGACAGCTCAGCACCCCTCTTCACCCGAGTGTCCAGAACATACGGTCCCGAGTAGATGAAACGACAACAAAGTCGATCATTGACCTTTCAGCCAAGGAGCTCTGGTACCACGTACACTTATGAACATCCTTGGGTTGGAACTTGGTGTTCGTTATGGACCATCCATGCCTAGCACACAAGTCCAATACCAATTCACCATTCGGGTTTAGATTGGGCAGGCCGTTCTTCCCAATCACGCCTCTCCAGGTCTCCCAGTCATTGCCAACATGAGCATTGAAGTCTCCCAGTAAGACTATGGAGTCTGTAGTTGGGACCCTTTCCAGAACCCCGCCCACTTGCTCCAAGAAGGCCGATTACTCCGACCTGTTGTTTGGTGCATAAGCACACACAACAGTCAGAGTTTTCCTCTCTGCGATTTTAATACGCATTGAGGCGACCCTCTCGTCCACCGGGACAAACTCCAACTGTACTGCTGCCAGCCGGGGACTCGTGAGTATCCCCACACCCGCCCGGCGCCTCTCACCTTGTGCAACCCCGGAGTAGGAGAGGGACCAACCCCTATCCAGGAGTTTGGTTCCAGAGCCGATACTGTGGGTGGAGGTGAGCCCAACTATATCTAGTTGGTACCTCTCAACCTCCCGCACAAGCTCCGGCTCCTTCCCCCCCAGTGAGGTTACGTTCCACGTACCAAGAGCCAGTTTCTGCCGCAGGGGCCTAGGCCACCAAGGGCCCCCCTGCAATCTCCCACTGCCTGTACGGCACTGCACCACTCCCCCATGCTGGACCTTGTGGGTGGTGGGCCCACATGGTCCCCCCACGTTGCCTCTTCGGGCTGAGCCCGGCCGGGTTACGTGGGCTGCCCGGCCACCAGGCGCTCGCCGAGGGACGCTACCCCCAGGCCTGGCTCCAGGGGTAGGTCCCGGTGACCCTCTCCCGGGCAGGGTACACGATGTTTTGCGTCCGTTTTTCATGGAGGTTTTTGGATCGAGTTAGTCTGGGTCTTCACTCCAGACCTGTTCGCCCTGGGAGACCCTACCAGGAGCATGTTGCTCCCGACGACTTAGCTCTGAAGATCCCTAGACCACACAAGCCCTTCCGCCACGACAAGGCCCCGATCCAGGAATGATTAATATTCATATATTCTAATATTTCTTAAAAGATCATTTATATTAATTGTGTTACATTAAACTGGAATAGGCCTTTATTTACTGTTCAACAAATTGAAAATGACAATACTATGATTTCCACATTCTGGAAATTGCAAGTCAAAAACATTATTGATACTTTTGCTATTTTGCTAAATTGAAGTTAAGTCAATTTTAATTTCTATAGTGCTTTAAACACAACAAAGTTGATCCACAGTTTTTACAGAGAAAACGGTGACCAGAGAAGAGAAAAAGACACATCCTTACACACTCAAACTCACCACATTCAAAAACACGCTCATATGGCATACATCCAGCTTAAAGTGTTTTTATGTTATCTAATCAGAATGTAAATGTGCTATGTACATAGAAATCAGATGGTCATATTAATGAGTTGAGGAGGCAAGTTACACTGAGTGAGGCAAGTGCCTACAGTGAGGCAAGTCACACTGAGGTGTACACTACACTGAGACACTGAAACTACATAAAGCAGTACATAGAGAAAAAGGTTTGAGAAATTGGAATGTATCCCAGCATGCAAAGGGTGGAAAGCAGGGATGTAGTGCGTCACAGAGCTAACACACACACACACATTGAAATCTATGGGCAATTTAGAATCCTCAGTTCATCAAATGTGAATGTCTTTGTACTATGAAAATCAGAGTCCCTGGAAGAAATACAAGGAGAACATGCAAGCAACATCCAGAAGGTACCTGGTCTAAAGCTAAACACAGGTCCTTCTTGGAGGTAACAATGCTAACCACTGAACTATTAAGTCACAGCAGGCACTAATACATGTGCCATTCAAGTACCACATTATTACAGTGTTGAAATAAATGATAAGACATGCATTATCACACTGCACAAATGCTGTTAAATTGACCTTGCTGGTCAGACAGCAAGGCCAACCAGGGTTTGTGGCGGAACATAACTCTATCTTAGGGCCAGTCTATGTACTGTCTTGGCTCCTATCAATGACTAAAATACACTAAAGACAGTCACTAAGTGAGAAGGGTGGCCAATGACCTGACCACTGCAGTCCACATCTTGGACCTGGCCGGCCCAGAGCCAGGCAGAACAGTAAAGACAAGTGGAGGAGGAAGTGGCTTTGCAACTGACTTACTCCTCCCTGCACTTAAATAAAGATCTGAAGACAAATATTGTAATTTGCATGGAACTGTGGCAATGTTGGCACAAAAGTGTTGCTGCAGAGGCTTAAGCCTAAACTAAACAACTGTGTAACACTGCAACACAGTAAGGGTAAAATATCAGTGTCATGTGTGCACAGTTGGCATTTTAGCATAAGAGTGATTCTAAAGAAAAGTTCAAGAATTTGTTAAAATGCACGAGGGCCATTCTACTGTACTGTACTGTCTCCATGATGTCAAACCATCTATTAGCTTTTTATATAGGCGTACATACAGTATTTCATTTTGCTCTGTGGTTTATAGCAGTGGTGGCTGTAGGATTGTAGGCTTGCTGTCTGTTCCTTATTTTAGTTCTTCTGCAGGGAATGGCAGTGATTTTTTTTATGTTTGATCACAGTAATTTAGGAAAAATCGGTAGAATAAGCATTTTTATCTGCAGAACTTTTTGTGCTATCACTTTAATGAAGGTGTTTGATCATAATGATTTAGGAAAAATCTGTAAAATAACAGTTTTTATCTGTAGAACCTTTTGTGCTATCTTTTTATTGAAGGTGTTGGATCATAATATTTTAGTATAAATCTGTAGATTAACAGTTTTTACCTGCAGAACCTTTCGTGCAATCACTTTATTGAAGGTTTTTGATCATAATATTTCAGTAAAAATCTGTGAAATAACAGCTTTTTTCTGCAAAACCTTTATTGAAAATTTCCATAAAATTATTGTTTTTGTTCTTTTTTTGAATTAGGATACTTTACTTTAATTTTACGTTTTTTTGTTTGGCTGCCAGTGATTTCACCATTTTTGTAAGATATTTTTTGTACACTGTGGGTAATTGCATGTACACACATTCTTGAACATACACACTAACACTATCATGTAAACAGTCAGACGTACTAATGCACACACTCCCACACCCACATTATCTCCGTAAATACTGTAAATGTTCAAAAGCTTTTCTCAACATACTCAAAATGCATGCAGGTCATAATTTATGTCAGACAGACTACTGAATGCAGTTTATTGCACAGTATGACTCATATGAACCATAAACATGAATAAAACTTTACCACATGGCTGATCGCTACAGATCAGCATGTTAAACAGCAGTGTTTGAAGACATACTGTGTTTTAAAACCACACTTGAGTAATCTGGTAGACTCTGGTATATTAAGACATGGATGTGTTTTGAGTGGGTTTAGAGATGTTTTTGGACATGTATTAGTGGAGATGGTGGGAAATGGGTGACAATTGAACTCTGGTGTTTGTTAGCAATATTAATATAGCAGCTCTAGTTATAAACTAAAGAAGCAAAATTTGGACTCCAAACATGTCTCGACTGATCAGTTAAATATGGGGTAAATTAGATTTTTGCTGAACTATTCCTACACTAAACTGAATGGTGAAGTTGTTTTCTATCATATTCCAGTTGGAAAGAGCCCCTGTTTGGAATGTTGCTTTCTTGTTTTACACCTTTATGCGTAAAGGTCGTTGTTCACTTTTTCATCTAAGGAAATAAAAGTGAGATGTTGTCTCAAAAGTGGTGTTTGTTGTTATAACTATAATTTACCAATTGAAACACAAAATACTTTTTACATAATCTTAACTTGAAAACTTATGTAAAGACATCCTATTAACTTAAATAAGTTGTAGCTAATAATTGGGACATGTGAACCAAAATTGTTAATAAGTCATCTGTCTCTTAAACTAAGTTGAAACAACACACACTGTATAGTAGAGAGGAATCCAAAGCAAAACTAGACATAAAGTTATGAGTTAAAACAAATACTAGTTATAATTTGATTTTACCTGAAACTTTATGGCAGCTTTTGAACTTTTTAAGTTGAAGCTGATGATATTTTTACAGTGCAGTGCCCTATGATCGCTGTAAAATTTGGGCTGAAGTCCCATAAACCTAGCCTAGAGACGCCCCTGACCGTCTTTTTTTCTAGCTTGATTTGTTCCGTTAAAAATACACTTAAACAGACAAAATGCTTCAGAACACAGTGTCCTTCAGCCTTCCAGAGTCGCAGTCCGCGCTGCTTCTGTTTTCTAGTGTTATTCTACATAATAAAATATGGTGTTTATTTTTTCATTTTGCAAAAGAAAGAAAATGTTCATCAATAAAGAGCCTGCTATAAACAGCACGACCTTGAACATTGAGCTACATTTTCTGAATATTATCAAAAACTGTAATACTGATTAAAATTAAACGAACAGGTATCGGATTACTTTTGCTGTCTCGTCCTCGTTGCCACGACGTTGTCACAACCTCCTACAATGTAGTCAGATGACGTCACAACTTTCTGAGAAAATACATTTCAGCGTTGTGACAACATAAAGAGCACCAAGCGGGCAACGTTGTGCTGCGCTATTTTAAGAAGTTCTTACCCAGCAAACACGGTTACATTGTGACAACCTATTGTCACTTCAGGCATTTTAACCTGTAGGCTACATCATTTACACACGAAGATATATCACACCAACACGGTTAGTCTTTCAGTTAACAAAGCTTTGTCTTGATGTGATATATATATATATACATATATATATATATATATATATATATATATATATATATATATACATATATATATATATATATATATATATATATATATATATATATATATATATATATATATATATCATTCAGTAAAAAAATACGTGTATACTTTAAAGTCAGTAAATTCAATGCATCGCTTTTTTGTAGTGTATCTAAATCGGACTGATCTGATTTTGTGATACAGCCTAGGCGTTTCGTCTAGGCTCTGAAGTCTCGAAAATGACTGCAATGGTCCTGCTGAGGTCAGTCAGTCCTCTGCGCAAAGCTTCAACACTACTGTTGGAGGAAGGGGAGGAGGAAGAGCTGCTGGATCATCCTCATAAAAAGACACAGCAGCCGTTTGAACGACATGTCTCCAGTCAGATATTTCATCTTATTAACTTTTCTAATTTCGTGTCACTTTCGATCATCGCGAGCTAAACGGATATTCAAATGTCCTTCAGGCTGCACTTGCGCAACTGACTCCATTATCTGCATTGGATCATCTTTGATCCCCAGGACCATTCCAAGTGACGTCAACTCTCTGTGAGTGTCTCCTTTCGTACATCAGAGTGCACCGAAAAACTGATGCTTTGAATTTGTAATTTGCATATGTCAGTCAGTTGCAAATAATAAAATGTGGTAAATCAACGCCTCTGCTCTCAGCTAATTCTTTTGGCAAAAAGGCGTTTTCATCATGTTCAACCGTCTGACACGTTGCATCATGTAAATTCGAAGCAGTTTAGCGATGTTTTAATTGCTCGGCATTTTCAGAGACTCAAAATGATGTGTAAGCACTTCACTTTCGAGGCATAGCTTTATATGTCAACTTCTATACACGAAGTGTAAGAATCCTGTGGGTACTTAATTAGGCCTAATAAAAGATTGTTTTTCCAGGAGTATTGTCAATGGCAGTTTCCCAGAAATAAAGCAAGCAATGTTCTCCCTCATGCCATCGCTGCAGTTACTGTAAGTGAGAACTCAGATGCATTACATCATGTTTTCCTCTTAGACAGATTACAGACAGGACGCAGTCTTCACTTTCGTTCCTGCTGCTGTATGCAGCGTGCATTATTTTTGGTCTTAAAGGGAGATTTCACCACGTTTTTTTTTAACTTTCTATGTAATTAAATGGTCATTTAGAATGATTTGATGTAAAATGGTTGTGTAGGGAAGCGTCAGCTCAGATTTCTTCACAGTGGTGGTGATAAGAACTAGTGGTCACGATGTCTACAACACAAAAAATAGCCGTTTTATTTATTACTCAAAATGACTAGTGAACCTACACGTGTCTTGTTGGTAATGGTAAAATATACGCAAATCTGGAAAACAAAAATTCTTTGAGGGCTACTTTGCCTTAGCACATCCTGCATGTACCTCTCCACCAAGTATGAATTTGATAAAAAATACACTTTAGGCCAAAATCTTATCTCAAAAATATCATAAGGTGATGTTTCAGGAATCATGCATGGTATTCATAACCATTTTATCTAATAACTTTCTATGAGGGAGCTTTTAGAGGCAGTTGTCTGGTTCCTATCACCACCATTGTGAACAATTCTGACTCTCTAGAATGGAGCATTTGACATAAAACCACTCTGAATGACTTTGTTTACATCTTCAACAGTTAATTATGCAGAAATTTTAATTTCCCTTTAGTAGGAAGGCCAAACATAAATGCACAACAAATTCAACATAATGATACTGTATTACATAACAGTCTATAAATGTATGCTGATAAAGAAGAAGCCATTTGGCAATGTATAAAAGCTGATTAGCAAAAGAACTGTAATGTCTGGATTTTTTCACAAATATCTGACTAAAGCAATGTTTTGTCATCTTCCAGACTCCTTAATGCAAACTCCCTCACCAGCATAAGGGAAGATGCATTCTCAGGCCTTCCTCACCTTGAGTATTTGTAAGTGTGTGGTGACACGACCTTCAATTATTTAAGATGAACAAATCTGTTTAATAGTTATGAATGCTAACTCACAGGTATGGCCAGTCTAAATGTATGGAAAAAATATGTAGTACTGAGTCCAAGGCAAACGTTTACAATTACCCTTGAGACCTACAAATAAAATGTCCACTAAGTACTAATTTGTTATTTCAGCCGTCAGCTGAGCTGAATATGTACAGTACAATAAATTAGCCTAAGGCAGCCGTGAAAATTATTTAAAACTGTTTATTTTGGCAAGCAATGTTTTTTTTTTTTGCCAGTAAAACACTATATAACATACAAATCACAAAAAAATTAAGCAGATTTTTGTGTTTTGCAAAGTTACTAACATCTTGGTTAGTAGAATACAGTTTGCATTTTCAGAAATAAGGTACTAAATTGTCACTGGGGCGGTACCTCAAAGGGTACATCTTCAGTACTTTACGTTAGGGAACATAATTTTACCATAATCCATTGCAGTTACATTTTTTTAAAGATGTACAGACTCTACACACCCTCTCTCGTCTCCAGCCTTTTTATTGTTCTGTTGTTAAACATTAGGATATGAAAAAGTACTTTTCCCTGAGAAAAACCTATTTAAGGTGCACAGCTGGACCTTAAAACCATCATTGTACCTTTGAGGGAACACTTACATTGTTTGTACCTTGATGAACAAAAATTTACCTGGACTTACCTGGACAGTACCTTTATTTCTGATAGGGTGTCTTCTCTGTGCACTCCAGTTATCGCATGGATTTGACCTGATTTAATTTAATGAAGGATTAACTAAGCAAACTAGGTATTTGATGGTAATGGTAAATACAAGATTTAGAAATGTTTGGTATTTTTTGAACAGATAAGTGCTTACAGCCTAAATAGATAGACTTTCACAGTTCAAAACTGGACATCAGGTAAAGTGGGACAAATAAGATGCATGCAGCATGACTGTTGGTTGTAGGAAGCCAATCATCAATTATTACAAGAGTGCTAATCAATAAGCATTTGTTTTCATTAGCCTGATGTCATCAGTTTGGCCATGGTTACTGTTCAAAATCTGCCTGATTGAGTGGACTAACAATTTAGAACACTTTTCTTGTAAAGAAGGATGCATAAAGAGGAGAAATCAAAAAGAAAAACTTTATGCTGTGTTTTGTAAAAGATCAATATTTAGACAATGAAAAAATATATTGTTAATTTTTGTACTTGAAGTGTTAGGCAAAGTGTGACAGTATTTTTAGGTTTAAGCCATTTTGATCTACTATAATCCTTTACTATCGCACTTTTAACCTCTAATCTGTTATAAAAACCATGGAATGCATTATGTTTATCAGTTTAATAACAAGATGTTTTAAGATACATATTTTTGTTATATGGGTACTGTATTGATAAATATTATGTTGAATAATGTTGCCTACCAAAAGGTCTGAGGGAAAAGACAGCAGGGAATAAGGAAAACAAGCAGAAGATTGAAACTCAACTAGCACATAGTGCATAAAAGTTGCCAACGCTCTGCTTATTCAGTAGCTGCAAACCTTCTCTGGCATTCACATCAGCACATAAACTGATTACTGGGAACTTCATGGCATGGGCCTCTGGTGCAGTGGAAACGTATTCCGTCGAGTGATGAATCACGCTTTTTTATCTGTCAGTCTGATGGACGAGTCTGGGTTTGGCAAATGCCAGGAGAACGTAACCTGTCTGATTGCATTGTGCTAACTGTAAATTTTGTTGGAGGAGGGATAATGTTATGGGGTTGTTTTTCAGGGGTTGGCCTAGGCCCATTAGTTCCAGTCAAGGGGGAATCGTGATGTTTCAGCATACATTTTGGACAACTGTATGCTTCCAACCTTGAGGGAACAGTTTGAGGAAGGCCCTTTTCTGTTTCAGCACGACTGTGCCCCAGTGCACAAAGCAAGGTCCATAAAGTCATGGTTGGGCAGGTTTGGTGTGGGAGAACTTGACTGGCCCACACAGAGCCCTGACCCCAACCCCATCAAACACCTTTAAGATGAACTAGAACAGAGATTGTGAGCCAGGCCCTCTTGTCCAACATCAGTGTATCACCTCACAAATGCTCCTCTGGATGATGGGGCAAAAATTTCCACAGACACTCCAAAATATTAATGTGTATGGATTTAGACTGAGATGTCATAAAAGCTCCTGTTGGTGTAATGTGTAGGTGTCCCAATACTTTTGTCCATATAGTGTATATAGAAAGCAAGAGTCAGGGAAGAGGCCTCAGCTTCAGTTCCTTGTAAGGGCTTGGGATGTACTAAAGTCTACCCTTCAAGGGTGAATGAAGGGGCATATAAATGGTTCTGGGCATTCATCTGGATGAAAAAAAAAATAAAATTCATTCATTTATTTTCTAAGCCACTTAACCTCCTGGGTTGCGGGGTGGGGGGGGGTGCTGGAGGCTATCCAAGTGGTCATTGGGCAGAGGGCAGGAAACACCCAGGACAGGGCAGACACACTTATACACATATACACACCCAGGGGCAATTTAGTATCTCAAAATCACCTGACTTTCTGTCTTTGGACTGTGGAAGGAAACCCACGCAGACATGGGGGGAACATGCAAACTCCACATAGAAAGGACCATGGTCGCCCGGCCGGGGAATCAAACACATTTACATTTAGAATGCTTGTAACAACAAGTATATACATTCATGTAAAAGGCATGTACACTCCATGAAAAAAGTTGACTTTTTCAGCATATTTGAAGATACTAATACAGAGTCTTAATTTAAACAGTGTTGATAGATAAAGGTGATATAATTTAAAAAGTCACATGTAGAATTGACATGTCAAAATGAAATCAGGTGTACCCAATTAAGTGCTAATGATTAGAGCACCATAAGAGAATATCTTGGAAGAACTTCTTAGAACGTCTTATTTAAACCTCAGATATCTGGTCTAGTTTGTTCTCTTGGAGTGTGTGGTATCACCATGCCTAGATCAAAAGTTTTAGATGCCTATGAGTCTGGGAAGGGGTTTAAGAATATCCAATATATTGGAAAATCCAACCTTCGGGAGGTCATCTACAGGAGGAGAACATTTAATACTACTGACGACCGTCGGTCTGGCCGCCCCAGCAAATTTAACGCAAGAGCAGGCCGTAAGATGCTAAAAAGTCTTTAAGATCCCCAAAATTTCATCAAAGGATCTGCAGGAAGCTCTTACCACTGTTAATATAAAGGTGCATGCATTTATTTGATATACATGTGCCAGGAAGATGCCTTTGCTGTATAAAAAGAACATCCGGGCAAGACTAAAGTTTGCTAATGAATATCTAGGCAAGGACCAGGACTTCTGGAACAATGTGCTATGGACAGACAAGCTAGCTAAAGTATAACAAACCATGTTTGGTGAAACCCAAAGAAATCATTTGTGATGGTTTCAGACAAATAGTTTCAAGTTTATTTGTCATTTGCCCAACATGTCAGGATATTCATGAACTGAAATGCTTGTGGTGAGCCTGAGGTTATCACTCTACAGCAGGGCAGCATTATATACATGCTGAAAACACTGCAGACAAAACAAAGTAAAAATACAAAAAATAAATGCTAGAACTAAAATGTAATAAGTATATAAACTAAAATACTAAAACTGAAATATAAGAATAGACAAAAATACATAAAATATACAGAGATAGGAGGGACCTATGTAAGAAAAACTCTGCTACGTACAGATATATTAAACAAAGGATAATCTGAGAATAATATATATACATTTAAAGTGACTTAGTGTTATTGTTTGTAGCAGTGATATGAAGTAATAAATAATACTACCAAAGTGACAGAGTGAAGTGGTAATGGGGGGACCCACAGCTTCACAGCTTGTTCAAAAGCCTGACAACCTGTGGGTAGAAACTGTTCATTAGAAAACTCGACAAGGTAAAATAATATAATTAACGTTCTGCACATCATACATACGATGCAATTTTGTTGATTTAAATATGTATCTCAAAAAGATAATATAGCCCTACCCTATTCAATGCGACGGCTGAGCCTGTTTCTGCAAGCACATCATAGCAATTCGTGGTTCAATATCAGACATAGCTAGTCGTAAATCGTCCTCCACTGTCAATAAACGTGAGCGATACTTGCTTTTGATGTAGGTGAGTGCAGAAAACGTTGCTTCACAGAGCCAAGTAGAGGCAAAAGGCAAAAGTACATCAATTGCTAGGTTCGCCAGTTCAGGATACTCTGAACCCTTGACTGATAGCCAAAACTCTGGCAGCGAGGTTGAATCAAAGACTGCCTTCAATGATCGGTCACTTGAAAGGTCCAGAAGAACATCCTGCTGGTCTGACGACAACTGGCACTCGGCATTTTTGATGAAGGGATTACGAACCCAGTCGTGCTGATCCTGTTTTTGATGCTTGGGAAAATATTTCCTGAAGTGATCAGAAAGGGCCTGGAGATGGAGAGCGATTTCCTTTTTCGTACCATCCCAGTTAAGCTCATTTTCAGTTATGAATTCCTCCAAGGTTGGGAACATGTCCACATTTTCACCCTTAACCTGGCCTCTCCATCATTCCAGTTTTCTCATGAACCCTTCAATTTTGTCAGACAATGTTAGCAAATTAGAATTTAGGCCCTGAAGTGATCAATTAAGGGTAATAAGTTTGTCGAAAATGTCCGACAGGTACGTAAGATCTGTGAGCCACTTCGAATTGCTCAAATATTCCTTGTAGGAAGATGCAAAATCAAGAAGGAAAATCCGTAGTTCATCTCGTAATGAAAATATCTGTTGAAGAACTTTTCTTCTGGAGAGCCATCTCACCTCCGTGTGCAGGAGTAATGATTCATGTTCTGACCCCATTTCTTTGCACAACAGGGCAAACAGTCTTGACTTCACTGGACGAGTTTTGATATGATTAACAATCTGCGTTGCTGCCTGTAGCACACTGCTAAACTCTGAGGGGAGAGCTTTTGCTGCAAGGGCCTCTCTGTGAATCATACAGTGAGTGAAATGAACATGGGGAGCTACATCACGAACCATTGCCATTAGTCCTTTGTTTTTCCCCATCATGGCACCTGCTCCATCTGTGCACACACCAACACAACTGTCCCAGCACAGACCCATTCCGTCCAGTTCGCTATTGAGTTTTTCAAAGCTAGATCTCCCTGTGCATGTTCCCTTGATGTGGATGGCTCATCGGCATCAATGGAGTCAGGATGGATGGCCTCACTTGTGGATTCCTCGGCAGAAACAATGCAGTCATTGTTTTTGCCACTCGCTTCAACCGATTTATCTTTACTGTTAGCCGTATTTAATTTTGCTAGCCACTGGTTCATTTTTCAGACTGTGAGCTGGATAACACTAGATGAGTAGCGTGCGTAATCAGCGAGACTAATCAGACTAATCCCTCTAGTGGTTGAAAAATGAATTGCGATGGACTGAAAGGACAGGTTCACCACAGTATTATATTTTTCTCTTAAGTGTTCGATATCAAAAATCTCGTAATCTCGCGCCCTCTTGGACAGGTACCCTGGCGGGGGGCATGCCCCACAGGTTGAAAACCCCAGCCTTAAGGGCCTTATGGTCGCAGACGGTGCAGCTGTCGTACCAGACAGTGATGCAGCCCGTGAGGACGCTCTCCATTGTGCATCTGTAGAAGTTGGTGAGGATGTGCGGAGGCAGTCCAAGCTTCCTGAGTCTGTATAGGAAGAAGAGACGCTGACAGGCAGATCTCACAATTGTGTTGGTGTGGAGGGACCAGGTGAGGTCGTCAGTATACACCGAGGAACTTAACACTGCTGACTCTCTCCACTTCAGCTTTATTGAAGTACGGGGAGAGTGACCACCGCTCGACAGCTTCCTGTAGTCCACGATCATCTCCTTAGTTTTCCTGATGTTGAGACAGAGATTGCTGTCATGGCACCACTGTGACAGAGCACTAACCTCATCCATGTAGACTGTTTTGTCTCCATCTATGAAGAGGCCTAGGGTGGTAGCGTCCTCAACAAACTTGAAGATGACGTTAGATGCGTGTTTGGGTCCATAGTCATGTGTATTCAGGGAGTACAAGAGGGGGCTACGTACACATCCCTGAGGAGTCAGCGTGGAAGAGAAGCCGTTCCCTATTTTCACCACCTGGGATCTGCTCGTCAGGAAGTCTAGTATCCAGATCCAGAGATGACAGTTCAAGCACAAATCTATGAGCTTAGGGATGAGTTTGGCAGGGATGATTGTGTTGAATGCTGATATGAAATCTGTAAACAACATTCTCAGTGTGTATTGTTAGTGCAATGGCGTCATCTGTAGGTATGTTGGAGCGGTATGCAAATTGGTGAGGGTCCATGGTGGCTGGAAGTGTTGAACAGATGTGAGTTTTGACCAGCTGCTCACTTCATAACTTGAAGCACTTCATAAATGTTGATGTCAGTGCAACAGGGCAGTAGTCATTCAGACGGGTGATAGCCGCTTTCTTGGGTACTGGAACAATTATGGATTCCTTAAAGCATATGGGAATCACTGACAGTCTTTAGGGAGATCTTAAAGATGTCAGTAAAAACCTCAGCCAGCTGGTTGGCACATGCTCTAAGTACACAACTGTGGACGCCGTCAGGACCAGGTGCCTTGCGTGTGTTAACTGCCCTGACCACCTGAGACAGGGAAATGGTTAAAGTGCAGCTCTCTTCATCTGCTAGGAGTTTTCAGTAGGGGAGGTGTTATTTGCCTCAAAACTAGTATAATGTGCATTTAATTCATATTTAGCTCATCTGCAAGTGGGGAGGATGAGCCCCTATCACAGATCAAACCTCCTTTGAAGTGACAATGTGGAGCCGAGGTAGTTAGATTCCACTCTGTCCCTGTAGATCCTTTTGGCCAGCCTGATGGTCCTCTGAAGGTCATATCTGGCCTTCTTGTAGCTAGCCAGGTTAGGCAGCAGCCCAAACTCTTAGTTTGGCTCGAACCCTAGAATTGATCCAGGGTTTCTGATTGGGAAATGTTCTGACATTGCTTTTTGTTACAATGTCATGAGTGCATTTATTGATGTAGCTTGTCATGGAGTCAGTGTATTCGTTGATGTTGGTGCCAGGTTCTCTTTCATACCACAGAGTGAGGAGAATGTGAGATCATCTGTAAAACAGTTAAAGCTGAAAAAGTGAACAGGAAAATGATCCCGAACATACAAGCAAATTCATCAAGGGATGTCTCAAAATGACGAAATTGGAGGGTTTGAAATGGCCCAGTCATAGCCCAGATCTGAATATCACTGAATTGCCATGGGAGATTTGAAACATGCAAGAAACCCCTCAAACATTGCACAGTTAAAAGAATTCTGCAAGGAGGAATTGGCAAATTTTCTCCCAGTAGATGTTAGAAACTGGTAGACTATAGAAAACACTTACAAAGTTACCGCAGAAGGGGGCAGTACTAGTTACTGAAGCTAGGGATGTACTTACTTTCTCAACAAACAAAAATGACATCTCAGTTCATTTTTTTTTAATAAATGATGGCAAATATCTGTTGTTTTTTATCTATTATACAACATTTACCTATACGTACTGTTTAACTGAAGATTAAATACTGATATTTAAATCCACATATGTCCAAAAAAGACAAATATTTCATGGTGTGTACTTACTTCTTAAAAAGACCATAGCATTTATAAGTGTCCCCTTTGCATCTACCAAAAAGTGTCTTACTTTTGCATAGTTTACCATACACCAATCAGGCATAACATTATGACCACCTCCTTGTTTCTATGCTCACTGTCCATTTTATCAGCTAAACTTACTATATAGGTGCACTTTGAGGTTCTACAATTACAGACTGTAGTCCATCTGTTTCTATGCATACTTTATTAACCCCCTTTCACCCTGTTCTTCAAAGGTCAGGACCCCCACAGAACCACCACAGAGCAGGTATTATTTGAGTGATAGATCATTCTCAGCACTATGGTGACACTGACATGGTGATGTGTTAGTGTGTGTTGTGCTGGTATGAGTGGATCAGACGCAGCAGTGCTGCTGGAGTTTTTAAACACCTCAGTGTCACTGCTGGACTGAAAATAGTCCACTAACCAAAAATATCCAGTCAACAACGTCCTGTGGGCAGCGTCCTGTGACCACCAATGAAGGACTAGAGGATGATTAGCACATACTGTACAGCAAGAGATGAGCCATTGCCTTTGGCTTTACATCTACAGGGTGGACAAACAATGCAGGTGCGTCTAATAGAGTGGACAGTGAGTGGACACAGTGTTTAAAAACTCCAGGAGCACTGCTGCGTCTGATCCACTTGTACAAATGCACACTCCACGTCAGTATCATTGCAGTGCTGAGAATGACCCACCACCAAAATAATACCTGCGCTGTGCTGGTCCAGTGGGGGTCCTGACCATTGAAGAACAGGGTAAAAGGGGCCCAACAAAGTATGCAGAGCAACAGATGGACAACAGTCACAAAGTGCACTGTTAAGTGGAGCTGATAAAATGGACAATGAGTGTAGAAACAAGGATCATAATGTTATGGCCGAGCAGTGTATATACTGCAAGTTTCTCTAATATTTGCTGACCTAATGTTTATATACTCTCAGGTTTATTGAGGGGAACAAGATAGAAGAGATCAACAAATATGCCTTCAGAGGACTCCGTGATGTTACACATCTGTAAGTTACTTATAAGGTTCATACTGCTAGAAAAAAAATCGACTTGCATTGTGTTTTTAAATGGAAATCATTGGCCAAACAGCATTTCAGAAAGAGTTGACAATCTCTGGCAATTTTAAAGAAACAGATAGCTTATGAAAAAAAATAAAATAAAAATTAAACTTCTGACTTCTTGTCACCAACACAAACAGCTGGCGAAATGCATGGCTACAGACACTGAAGGGAATGTATGGTAATAAACCATTTGAAATAGCAGCAAATACATGGCATGTTCTTCAAATGCTGAAGCTACATAGCTTCAGCAGTATATCTGTAACAAGACTCATACAAGTAAATAAAATACAAGTAAATAAAAAAAATAAAATTTGGTGAAAAGTATGATCATGCAAAAGTACTGCGGAGATGGTGGTGGAGATTTATAGCATTCTTAACTGTTTTGTTGATTTTGTTTTGATTAACCATATTGGTATTTTGTGTTTAAAATTATAATATAATAATATAATAATATAAGTAATAGAAGTCACCAGGTAAGACCATTAATCACTAATTATCAGCTCTTTAGTGGTAGGATTTTTGCCATATCAGTAAACCTGCAAAGACCTCAATTGGCCAATAATATTGGTCACTCGATATATAAATTGACACCTACACTCTTAAAAGAGATGGTTCTTTAAGGGTTCTTTAGTAAAGAAAATGGTTGTATACAACACTCAAAGAACCCTTTGCACCATGAAAGCGTTCTTCAGATTGATGGACAATGTGCTGTAGATCGATCTATACAGAACCTTTTTTTTTAAGGTTTCTATATAAAACTGTAGCATGCCAAATGCCACCTCGAGCACAAGAAGGCACTGGAGGCAGGGTTGAAGGTTGCAGCTGCCATTTTAACTTCATTCTCAAACAAATAAAAACAATTCCAAATGGAAACTGGTCACTTTTCAGTGGCTTCAAACCTAGACTTTTCAGTCGTTTTTTAACAGACAAGCTTTTCAGCTCCTCAGTCTTTTCTGCTGCTTCTCATCCTTCTCCTCCTCTCTGTTCCCTCTCTGCTCTTTTTAAAGAGGGGTCCGGGGTGAAAAGTATGCTAATGTAAAAGTACTGTCATTTAAAAGTACTAACCATTTATTTTACACCACTATTTAAGTATAAGCTACTTAAGGCTATGTGCCGTGCACCCGACCCCAGATAGCCACTTTCTCCCATCACCCAACTTAAGCTGGGGCTTCCTCAGAGTGGGGATGGGAGGGTAAAAAAGGGGAACTCCGAGTGCTCTCTGAGCAGGGAGGGGAGGAGGGAGGAAGGCTCCGGTCCTCCTTGGAGCTGGGACTGGAGGTGTGGGTGTGAGAGGGGGGCTCCTGGCCCAGTGCACACTGAGTGTTGCTGCTCCTGACCATCCGACAGTTCACCTGGGGGACAGGCGCATGGCACAGGAACCAAAAAGGGTTCTTCTGTCGTTACAATGTTGAGCTTGTTACAGTAGAAGAACTCTTTTTTTAGCGCTATATAGTACCCTTTTCAAAAAAGGTTCTATGTAGGACCATCTACAGCACATTCTCCTTCAATTTGAAGAACACTTTTACCGTGCAAAGAAGCTTTTAATCATGCAAAGGGTTCTTTGAATGTTTATGGTTCTACTTTTTTTTTACTAAAGAACCCTTGAAGAACCCTCTGTTTTAAGTGTGTACCTCACATTGGTATTGCTTATGTTTATCTTGTTGAACCCACACATACAGCTACAATGTCATTTGAATTGTGAAAGCTAATATAGGTTCTATATTTTTGTCTTGACAAGCAATTTTTTTTTGTCTCATGCCTTTTTGCAGGTCCTTGGCAAACAACAACATGAAAAACCTTCCCAAAGGCCTGTTTTCTGATTTGCACTCTTTGATAGAACTGTGAGTACTTCGCCTGCACCTGTGGCCATGCATTAAAGGACAGGTTGAGATTAAAAGCTAATTTATTCTTCTGCAAGTGAATTACTTGCAAATGTTGATAAAAGAGTATTTTACCAGTGTCATTGTTATCAAAGCTGTACTTTAGCTGTTGTGTTGGTGTCATTTAATTTTGTAATTCTTTGTGTGCAATACTAGAGACTTACGAGGGAACCTGTTTCAGTGTGACTGCCAAGCCATGTGGCTAATGCTGTGGCTGAAAAGGTCAAATGCCACAGTCTCAGATGTCTACTGTGCTGGACCAGTGGACATGAAAGGTGTTCTGCTGAAGGACGTCCCTGCGAAACACACAACGTGTGTCTCTATTGGTAAGTAGATCTATAAGTAGGAAATACTCTTCAAAAGTATCTAGTTGGAGCAATGAAGCTCCCCAAATACCTCACAATATATAATAAGTCAGTTCAAACCGTGGATGTGTTGGAGTGTTGTTTGTGATCCAGAAATAATCATCCGACATCATGGTTGACCTCACTAATGTTCTTGTGGCTGAATGGAACCAAATTCCAGCAGCAGGGCCCCAACATCTGGTGGAAAGCTTTCATAGAAGAGTAGATGCTGTATTTCGACAGAAGGGGGACAAAGAAAAATGGAAAGAGCAGGTATCTAGATATTTCTGGTTATTTAGTTTGTTTGTACTTTGTTCATTGCACAGATTTTATTCCTCACCAAACCATCAACACCCAGTCCATGTCAGCAGACATCTTCTCCTATAAAGAAGACATCTATGTTGCTATGGCAGTCCCAAACTCAGACAGCTGCATAATCATGGAGTGGGATCACGTCGAAACCAAATTCAGGCCTTTTGATAGCATTACAGGTTTGATATGAGTTTTTCCACAAATTGTTTAATATCACCTAACAAAACCTCATAGCTCTGAAATGTAAATTTTATAGCAGAAGGAAAGTAGTGCACTACATATGAATTTAAATACTGGCTCCTGCATCCCAACAGTGAATAATACAGCTAAAATTAGTCATTTTGAATTTAGCCACATCCATACTCAACAAATAGTGCACTATTTGGCTGTGGAAGCTAGAATTTCAAAAGTTTCATAGCACACTATTTAGGGAATATGGAGCCATTTGAAATTCAGCCTGGGTTTAATGCTACTCAAGGCAAATCTGACTGAAACATGGATATTTGAAGCATGTAAGTCATTCAAGTGACATTTTTAGGCTTTTATATTGGCATTTTACAGTAAATCTTGAATATTGTAAGCCTGATATTAATGATGGAATCGTTTAGCATGTTTGCTGTCTTTTAGCCTGTTAACTAGCTGACCAGCCTACTTGTGGTTAATAAAATAAGCCATCAGCCCATCAGTTTAAATAAAAAATGTGTTCATACTTCATCAGTACACTCAGTGGTCCATGCAAACAGCGTTAGAGTAAAAGACTATTCCATTAACAGCACAATGGTTTTTAGTGTCGTGGTAATAGAGAATTCAGTTGTTCTGATGCGATCATGGGTGTGCGTATATCATGAATTTTACAACAGCTTCGAACGTGGCTCAGCCAGTCAGATTTTAGGACTAGAACTATAAATTTTATAAAAATGAATTTATGAGGTTTTGATATGACAATAATGATATTTATCATAGAGCAGTTATTTATTAATGGAACTGAATGTAAATTAAATTTTAATATGTTCTGCTCTTGTTCCAGGACGATCCATCATTGGTTGCAGGTCTGTGCTGATCGGCGAGCAGGCATTCATTATTGTCACTCAACTCTTTGATGGTTCCCACATTTACAAATTTGATCAAGAGCAGAATAAGTTCACCAAGTTCCAAACAGTCGAAATGCTAAATGTCTCCAAGCCGAACGATATTGAAGTCTTTAAAATTGGGGATGAGTGGTTCTTACTGATTGTTGATAGTTCCAAAGCAGGCATGTCCACTCTGTTCAAGTGGAATGACACTGGATTCTTCCCACACCAGTTCCTTCATGAGTGGTTCCGTGACACTGATGTTGAATTTGTTGATTTGGACGGCAAGTCTATTCTTATTCTAGTGAGTCGTTCCCAAGTCCCTGTCATCTACCACTGGAACAAAAGCACCCAGATGTTTGTCCGCTTTGATGAGATACCAAACATGGACGACATGGTCAGTGTGAAGGCCTTTAGAATCAATAATGTCCTCTACTTGGCACTGGCCTGTTACATTGGAGATTCAAAAGTCCTGAAGTGGACAGGCAGGCATTTTGAGGAAGTGCAGGGCCTTCCCTCACGTGGGGCCATGGTCCTTCAGCCTTTCAGCTTCAAAAACCATAACTATCTAATTCTGAGCAGTGACTACTCCTTCTCTGAAATCTACAGGTGGGACGAGGAGAAGCTGATTTTTGTCAAGTTCAGGGAAGTGTATGTTCAGTGGCCACGTTCTTTTACGCCACTGTCAACAGGTCAGCGTGATTTCTTTCTCGCCACCAGCTTCAAGGGAAAAACAAAGGTTTTTGAACATGTTTTAGTTGATTACAGTCGATGAAACTGTAGTCTGAAAGTATGTGACATCAGAACACCAAATCAGTCTTTCCTCACTGAATATGAATATCTATGCATTTAGCCCTGTCTTGGCCTAAATATTAACCAGTGCAATGTTATTTTAACAACACGGTTGTCTGGCCTTTCATTTTCATTTCGCTTGGAAGAGTCATAACATGGTGCATGTTTCTTATTTACAATTATGCAAATATTTTTACATTTATACAGCATTTTTTATTATACTACAAATAACTCATTCAGGCTGTTTCACTCAGTGAGTGTTTTGGTGTCCCAAAAGCAAAGCAATGCTAAGATCTTAAAGATGTTCAAAACAATACCATTTATGAAAACTACACTTTTGGGAAATCAAGCCTTCGCTACAAGGTCAGACCAATCTTCAACAAGGTCTCATTCAGATCATTCATCTGAGTATAAGACAGTGTTTATCATCTTAAGCCATGGATTTCCAGAACTGCATATCACAATAATGGTGACAAAATGAAAATTAAAATATAATTTACTTCATATGCATGTGCACTCTATAATAATGATTTTGAAATTGCATTATCAAAGAGAACACCAACCTAGAAAGATGACAAAATTCAAATATAAAAAGCAAACAGCACCTCTCCTCTTTGCAATCACATATTGCAAATACTTGCCTACTGCACTCATTCTGTGGCAAAATGCTTTTGAAAATGCATTTGACCCGATTTAATTTTGCCAATTGTCCCATCAGGGCAGGGACAATGTCTATTCTCCATCTTTTTTCAACTGTGATATTATTCTTGCCTACTGCACTCATTCTGTGGCAAAATGCTTTTGAAAATGCATTTGACCCGATTGAATTTTGCCAATTGTCCCATCAGGGCAGGGACAATAGCGCGCTCAGTGGAAAGGCTATGTAGACCGTAGTCTTACGTTAGAAGATGGGGTCATAGAGAGCAATATATCCACATGTGATGATTACTGTGCTTTATCCATGAACCACGAAGAATTTTAATTTGGGTCGAAGTGTTAGCCGACTGTAGGCTTCAGATACAGATGATTCCAGCATTGAGGGCTGTCTTCTAACAACTTATTTTAATGAATCTACCTGCTCTGTTACACCTTATCCGTTCCGCTATACCGTGTCGGTACCCTGTCATATTTCAGCTAGGCCATCTCTAATGTTTTGCTTTCCTTTTTAAAAATTAATATTAGAAAACTTGCTGGTACACACGTGACATAGTGAGCAGGTTTATGCTGGCCGGCTGGTGAAATCAGCAGATGGGGGGAATGTAGTGTTAGCTAGCGGAAACATTGACTTTTAGCAAGCTTAATTCCACAAGCCTTCCACAATTCACGTACCGTATTTGCAGGAGAGGTGATGGCATCAACTACAGTCTGTATGATGGGCTTCCTACTTGGTTTCCTCCATTTGTAAAACCAAGCTGAAAATATAGCCGCAAGCCGCAATCTGTGGGGTCTAAGCACCAGGAAGACATCGAGGAGTAAAGTAGTGGCCTCTGGTCATAGAATGCAGCAGATCTTTAAGAAAGATCTTCTTTTTCTATGATTAAGACCACTAGGTGATACATCTGCTACAATCTATGCAACTCATTTTAACATCCATGACAGGGATTCGAACCCACGACCCTAGAGTTTAGAGACTCTCATGGTGAGCCACAAGACATTCGTGGCACAACTGCAGTTTTTGAAACAATTTATTGAAAGGAAGCAACAAGGAACCACGCACCATTTTAGGACAAAGTAGTGGCATAAACAAATTTCATGTCTCTAGACATAGAAGGCAGCAAATCTTTGGATTTTTAAGAAAGACCCTTCATTAAGATTAAGATAATTAAGTGTGTGTTCACGACAACTGCTACAGCACCATCCAACACCAGTACAGGAAATGAAATCCACTACCTTAATCTTCAAAAGCAGATGTTTTCATGGTGAGCTACAAGAGGCCCACAGCAGACCTATTGAGAGAATTTATCGGTCTAGAGCAATAAGGAACCTAGCACGGTCTTGGGAATTAGTTTCCACCTTGCAGTTACTGTGACTATTGAGTAGTGTAACTTCAAATGAAATCATAATACACTGTCAGTTTGTCATTTTGTATATTTGTGTCAAATTTGGTTATATTCAGACAATTATTGGTGTATTTTTAGCCTTTTATGGCAGAATAAGCCAATTCACACCAAATTATTCAAATCTTCAGCCACACTGTGCTTAAGTCATGACATTTTCAATGATTGTTTTAAGAAAGATTTAATTTGATTTAAACTCAAGAATTAGTAAGAAATGTCTATTCTCCATCTTTTTTCAACTGTGATATTACTGAAAGTTTTTTAAGACTTGTATTTGCACAATTGTTAGGCTTAGTGAAAAACATAACATTCAGAAATGCTCTTTGCTTAAAGACATACAGTAAAGCTTTCCATGTATATGTCAACAATGACGTGCAGTTACTGATTTGGCTCCCTCTGGTGGCCAGAGAAAAATCTGAATAAAATTTGCTAAAATCAAATGATAGGATTTCCTGTACAGTACAATCTACACATTATGCAAAGTGTTAATGTGTCATTAAGATGCATAATTTAAACAATAATCATGTCTTTATTTTAATCTTAGACAGGAATAATTACATTTTAGATTGTTGGCAGTACATTGAGCATTGTAAGAGCCAATTTAAGCCAATTCAAACCAAATGTCATATGTTTCCTCAACTGATAATTTTCAATGTATATAGCAATTTTAGTCACAATCGGAGCATAAGTGACAGATTTGTGGTCCCTTGTTTCCGAATAGGCTGGACCGCACTGATTGATCCATAACTTGCAATAATATTGTGCTTAAAAGGCAAGATTTTTTAAATAATTATTGATCTTGAGACTTTGACGCTTGTTTTGAGACCAAGTTTGAGACAATGCAAAAACATTTCAGCAAGCAGTATGAAAACACCAGTTTTCAAACTCTGATTATTTACAGAAAAACAATAAAGTTTTTTAAAAGACTTGTATTTGCAAAATTGTCAGGCACAGTGGAAAGCAAAAAGTACAGAAATTGTCTTGACCCAAAGACATACAGTAAAGCTTTCCACTAATAGTATATTTTTTATTAATTAGTTGAACATTGACATTTGCAGTTACTGATTTGGCTCCCTCTGGTGGGCAGATAAATATAAAACACCTCTTGCTCTAATTAAAATTTGCTGAAATCAAATTATATGATTTCCTATACAGTTAAGCAACCTACACATATTTGCAAAGTGTTAATGTGTCATTAAGATGCATAATTTGAAACAATAGTCATGTCTATATTTTAATCTTAGACAGGAATAATTACATTTTAGATTGTTGACAGTACATTGAGCATTGTAAGAGCCAACTTTAGCCAATTCAAGCCAAATCTCATAGGTTTCCTCAGCTGATTATTTGCAGTGTATATATCATTTTTGGTCACAATCAGAGCATAAGTGACAGATTTGTGGTCCCTTGTTTCCGAATAGGCTGGACCGCACTGATTGATCCATAACTTGCAATAAAATTGTGCTTAAAAGCCAAGGTTTTTAAAATAATTGTTGATCTTGAGACTTTGACGGTTGTTTAGAGACCAAGTTTGAGACGTTGCAAAAACGTTTCAGCAAGCAGTATGAAAACATCAGTTTTCAAACTCTGATGATTTACAGAAAAACAATAGAGTTTTTTAAAAGACTTGTATAAGCAAAATTGCTTGGCTCAGTGGAATACATGAAATTCAGAAAGTTCCTTTGCCGCAAGATAGATTATATTATAGAAGACTATGAGCATAAGTATGTTTGAAGTCATAATTTGCATTTAATGCTGATTTGCATTTAATCTCTGCTGGGCAGAAAAGATATTACCCTTATTAATTATGTGGCCATCCTGGCTTTAACTCAAATTTCCACATTTCCTGTGCAATTTTGGAACATATATATAATTGCAATGTTTTAGATGTTAATGAGATGTGTAATTTGAAACCATTATCTTTTCTTTATTTCATTCATAGAATAATATAATGACATTTTAATAATTACACACTAGATTAAGTATTGTAGGGGCTTGTGACAGTCAATTTAAATGAAACTTTGCATCTTTCCTCAGAAAGTAGTAGTGTACAACTTGACCAAGATTTATCACAATCACCTAAATACTAAAGAATCTATAGCCCCTTAAGTCAGAAAAGGCCAGGCCAAACAAATTCATTGGTGTTTCATGGCTGTTCTTTGCAATAAAGTCAAGGCTTTTTTGATAATTATTTACCTACGGACTCCACAGATTGTTTTAAGACCAAAATTGAAACAATTGTCTTAAAATCCACAAACTAGTTTGAAAAGCTCAATTTTCAAACATTGATCAATCAAAGAAAAACTTTACTGAATTTTAAAAGACTTGTATTGGATAAAATGTCATGCTCAGTGTAAGCAATGATATGAATTGATTTATTTTGATATATGATAAAATTTATAGTACTTATTCTCGTTTATACTCTATAGCGCCACCTCATGGCCAATTGAGGTCAAACTTTATATGCTATTAGAGATTGCCTATGTGGACACATAATTTTTGTAATGATTGGCCAATGCTAACCCCTTCAAATGCCTGTTGAAATCTTATTGGCCAATGGCGGCCATATTTGTCAAATGATTCAGTTGTCTTTAATAGATCTTGTAAATATTAGGCCATGGATACAGCATGCAAAGTTTCATCTGTTTTGAGAAACAGATTTTTGGCTGGTATAGCGCCCCTATTGAGGAATCAGCATCAACCTTGGTGGGCTTCCACAGAATCATGTGGGGTACAGGACTGATAAGTTTGATGTGAATTGGCCAAAGCATTCTCGATCTGTAGCCATTTATGTGAATTAAGCCAAACCCAGAGGGGCTTAATTGGCACGTGCCAGCCATACTGTTTATAAATATTCTTAACCTCCAGACTCCCCTGAACATTTTGAGACCAATATTGTGTTGATATCTTGAAAAACCTCAGACTAGTAGAAAAATGTAGATGTCACATATTTTGTCACTGTTTCACCAATCTTTGTATAAATGAAATACACTGCGTGCTTGAAACCTAATAAGAAAAATCCTCACAATTCCAATAGGGTTCTACACACTGCGTGCTTGAACCCTAATAACAACAATAACAATAAGAAGAAGAAAAATCCTCACAATTCCAATAGGGTTCTATGCACTGTGTGCTTGAACCCTAAAAATCCTCACAATTCCAATAGGATTCAATGCATTGCATGCTTGAAC